CTGAGCCACTACTTGGGTTTTGTTTGTTTTAGTTTGCCTTTATCTGATTTTGTCTTTTTGTTTTGTTTGTTTGTTTAAATAAAATTTGCTGGGGCTGCAGAAATGGCTCAGCAGCTAAGAAAGAGCACATAGTACTTTTGCAGAGTTTGGTTCCAAGCATCCAGGTCAGGTTCCCCTGCAGGTGTAGGGGTGTGTGTGTGTGTGTGTGTGTGTGTGTGTGTGTGTGTGTGTGTGTGTGTGTGTGTGTGTGTGTGTGTGTGTGTGTGTGTGTGTGTACATGTATGCATGCACATACTTTGTAATAATAAATCTTTTTTAAAATGCCTCTTGGGGTCTTTGAAAGGTATGGGTAATGTTTTGTAAAGTCACTGACTTTGTTACCGCTAGTTGCACAACCAGATTAGCTCTCTGGAGAGAATATTCCGTATATTGCTAGGGAAGCTCGTGATTCTGTTCCACTTTCGTGACATGTCCTGACCTTTTTTTTTTTTTTTTTTCTTTTTTTCCTGTACTAATGAGCAGAAATGAGCAAATGGTTTTCATTTCATATCTCACAAGTAATTTATTTCTCCTGTTGTCCTCATCCAACGTTGTGTGCATTAAATAAAATTCTTTTTATAAGCATGGTGGTTTAGTATTTGCCACTAATGATCACAAATGTAATGAGTATATTGTATTCTAGAGGTCACTAAATAAAATTATGGCCTCTGTTTTCTTACATTCTAATTATTCATCTGTATGGTGTGTTCATATTATTTAGAAATGTAGTTGAATTTTAATGAGATTAGAAAATTAAAGTACTTAAAAACCATTTTATACTTTTGTTAGGGGTCTGATTTATATATAAAATATTCAGTGGTCTAGGGATATAGCTAAATGGTAGATCACTTGCCTGTGGGCCACAAAACCCTGGGTTTAATCCTTAGTTCCAAGATACATACATACATACATACATACATACATACATACATATTTATCTACCCAGTTTGCCTTTGCATTTTGGTGCATTTTAGTAAATATTAAATTGTATAGTCACTGCTATATCACATAGGAGTACATTGATTCAGCTCAAAATTTCTCTGTCTTGTTTCCCCTTCTCCCTGTCAATCACTAACATGACTTCTGCCCCTGATGTTTTGCCTTTTCTGAATTGGCATACAGATGAAAACTAGTAGGCTCCTGCGTTTGGACTTTTCCTTCTTACTCTTGGCATAATACTGTTGAGACTGGACCATGTTGTTTTAATCAGTGGATCATTCCTTAGGGAATTTGCATTGTGTGGATATATGACAGGTTATTTCTGTCAGTCTGAGTCTATCATGAGTTAAGCTGCTATTAAAAAGTCTTCATGTGGGTAGGAAATTGCCTAGGTCTAACAAGATTATTCAGTAGGTAAAGGTGCTTGCTAGCTACCAAACCTGATGTCTTGAGTTTGATAATAGGAATCCATACTGTGGTGTTCTCTGGCCTCCACACACACCACGTGCATACACACACTCTGTGCTATTAATCTTTAATTTCAGCTGTTCTAGTGATTTAATGTTTTTAAATGTTTGTGTGTGTGTGGCATATGAATGCAAGTAGCCCCAAAGGCCAGAAGAAGGAAGGCATCAGATTCCCTGGAGCTGTACTGAGCTGCCTTCCATAGGTTCCTCCTGAAGAGTGGCAGGCACCCCTAACCACAGCCTCTTTGTTATTGATTTCCTGTTGCCTGACACTGCTAGGCATGCTTTCTTATGCATATTTTGTGTTCATGCTGTTTTGGGGTTTTTTTTGAGACAGAGTATTACTGTGTTATATAGCCCTGGTTGTCCTGGATCTTACTCTGTAGACCAGGCTGGCCCAAACTCTGCCTCTGCCTCTCAAGTGCTGGAATTTTGGCACCGCCACCACCCGGCTAAAGGAAAGTTTTAAACTACAAATATTTGAGTTATTTATGTGATCATGCACAGACTTTGACTATTACATTAGAATTAATGAATTTTACACAAAAATGTTGATAATAATCCTTTATTATCCTTCCAGTGTCTGGAATCTGTGATTTTCCTCTTGGATTCATGGTACTATTAGGTAGCTAGTAATCCTTCTCATCTGGGCAGTTAAGAGTTTTGCTGATACTATTGTCCAGCCTTTCTGACTGTTGAAACTAGCTGTTTTCCTTCTTTATCAAACACTGAATGCTGTACATTCCCATTTTTACTTGCCAGTTTTGGATTTATGTGCTGTTTCTTGATTTCTTTTACTGAAAATATACTTTTTTTTCTCACACAATATATTCTAATTACAGTTTCTCCTCCCTGTACTACTCCTAGCTCCTCCTCTCCTCCAGATCCACACCCTTCCTGTCTCATTAGAAAACAAACAGGCTTCTACTGGATAATAACAAAATAAAACAAAATAAGATAAAATAAATACCAACACATCAATATAGAACAAAACAAACAGAAGGAAAAGAGCCAAAGAAAAGCCAGAAGAAATAGGTGTAGATGCAGAGATCCACTCATTTGCATATTCAGGAATCTCATAAAAACATTAAACTGGAAACCATAATATATACCTAAAGGATCTGTAGGGTAAAAGGGAGAAGAAAATATATAAATAAACTAAAAATGGGGGAAATCCCTGACACACCATTATGAGACAAGGAACCTCCAAAGTTGCCCTTGAGTTCATTTTCTGTTTTCCATCCACTACTGGGCATGCAATATATTAGTTTGTTTCCCCAGTGAGACTCCCTTGCAGGAAAGTAAATTTTCATTTGCAAGTGTTATCAATTGGAGATTGCTTCTGGGATGGGGGCATATGTCCACTTCTTCATTTAGCTCTAGGACCCCATCTGGCACAGACTTGTGCAGGCCCTGCACATGTTGCCTCAGTCTTTATGAGTTCATTTGTGTGCCAGCCCTGTTGTATCTAGAAGGCCTTGATTCCTTGGTGTCCACCATCCCCTCTAACTTGTACCCATTTTCCTCCTCCTCCTCTTCTCCAGAGTTCTCTCAGTCCTTAGGGGAGGGATTTGATGGAGACATCCCATTTAGGACTGAGTGTCCTGAGTTCCCTTATCTCTGCACAGTACTGGCTGTGGATCTCTGTGTGTCTTAGTTGAGGTTTCTAGTGCTATGATGAAACACCATGACCATGGCAACTCTTACAAAAGAAAACATCTAATTGGGTGGCAACTTACAATTCAGAGTTTCAGTCCATTATCATCATGGCAGGGAGCCTGGCAGTATACAGAGTGCTGACTACATCTTGATCAGAAGGCAACAGGAATTTGTCTGTGACACTGAGGAATGCTTAAGCAAAAGAGATCTTTAAGCCTGCCCCCACAGTGACACACTTCCTTTAACAAGGCCACATCTCCCAATAGTGCCTTTGAGCTTATTTGTTCCCACTTGCTGCAGGATGAAGTCCATCTGATGATGACTGAATAAGGCACCAATCTTACGAGTATAGCAGTGTCATTAGAAACTATTCTATTGTTATATTATTTTATTTTTTTTAAACCAATAGTATTTGGTTTTACCCTAGGTCCCTGGGCTGTCTAGTCTCAGATTCTTGGTCACCTTAGCAGTGTCAGGTATAGGTTCCATTTCATGGAGTTAGCCTTCACTCAAATTGGATGTTGGTTGATCACTCCCAAAAACTTTGTGCCACCATTACACTAGCATGTCTTACAGGCAAGACATCATTATAGATCCAGGGGTTGTTCTTGGGTTGGTACTTATTTACCTTTCTCCTGGAACTTCTTTAGTGAAGGCATTTTTTTTGTCAGCAATTTTTATATGGAAGCTTCAATTTGTATTCAGTTCAACCTATTTTCTTTAATATTTCTTGTAGGAGCTATGGTGTTTTGTTTGCAAAAACTTTTTTTTCTTTTTTTAAAATGGGGGGGGGGTCAAGGCTTTTGATTTGGGTTTCTGGATTAATGGTGTGGTTAAAAAAAAAAAAGCCAAGTTTTAAAGCTATTAAATATGCAGCTTATCTTATTATTAGAGCCCAGAAGATTTATTTTATTTTGAGCTGTTTTGTGTGTCACCATATGAGCATTCCAAGTGGAATGTGCCTTGTTGCTCATTCTGTGTGTTAGTTAGGTTGGATTGTTGGATGTCTCTGAAGTTTTATAGATTCTTGTATCTTTCTACTTGTTCTGTTAGTTACTGAGAACAGACTGTTAATGCTTAATGTTGATTTAAAAAACACATATTTCTTAAATATCAATGACAGTAGGAGGTTGTAAATGATAAGGTAGTTAAGCGGTGTGTCTTAAGTGATGGAATGCATCTGCATTTCCAAATATTGCACACTTACTCCAGGTACCATTCTTGCTGTGTTTTACCCTTCTGGACCTGCTGTCTTTGGTTTAATAGAAGTGATAACAAACTTCCTGTAGCTATTATGACCATTTGATGAGAAAATGAGTCAGGATGGGTTTTTTGGGTTTTCAAGACAGGGTTTCTCTATAGCCCTGGCTGTCCTGGAACTCACTCTGTAGGTCAGGCGAGTACTGAATTATTAACATAGTACATAGTATCTGGTGTATAGTTATTCTTAAATGGGGATTGTTTTGTATTTTTTAAATTATCAAATTTTGTATGCTTTTCAGAATTTCAAGTTGTGACGCCAAATATTTGGTTTTAGTATTCTTTCTTTGTGTTTGTTAATCTCTCTCTCTCTCTCTCTCTCTCTCTCTCTCTCTCTCTCTCTCTCTCTCTCTCTCGTGTGTGTGTGTGTGTGGTTAAGAATTTTTAATACTGCAAGTTACATTTACAGACTGAAGTCAGCATCAGACATGACTTAGGAAAAACAGAACATTGTCTCAGATTCTTTACAATACTTTCTCCATTCCAATACTGGATTTGGAATATTGCAAAGCACCAGAATAAACAGAACACAGATAGTGTTCTGCCGTGGTGTCCTTGGCTGTCAACCAATGAGCTAGGAAAACACACATGTTGCAGTTAATTTCTTGTCTGATAGGAATTGTTTTTCTCTTCCAGATCAACAGAGAAAGCTGGTGTACCATAGAGCCATGCCCTGAAGCAGCATCTCTTTTGGCTTCCAAACAGAGCTCAGGTAGGCCTGTTCATAGTCCTGCACTAGAAGAAATAATTTGATATTGTGATCTGCACTTCCAGAGTACATTATACAGCAAACCAGAAGAAGACATGTATATGTATAGCATAGTTTTTAAAGCATGGTTTCACAATTGAAATTAAAAGCACTAAAAGTTTCCTTGAATTTTTTTTTTTTGAATCATTAGTAATTTTAGTGATTATGTGGCTTTATGAGTTGTTAATCATTATATATATGTGTTGCTGGGGACCGATCTATGGTTTTAATTTAATTTTAGCTGTGTTGATGCAAAAACAAAAGAAATCTTCGCTCTTGCCTCAATGGGAATAAGAGATAGTTTATTCTAGAGCCAAATTAGAGAGATCATAGCCCAGGGACACAGACAGGTTACCCCTGTTCCATGTGTATAAGCATGTTCCAGTGTAGAAGCACTTTCATAAAGAAGTTTTATATCAGTAAAACATAAAATGCCATAAATCAAGATACTTTTAAAATATATTGGTGGAAACATCGGAGAGGTGGCTACAGAAGATGAGTGATGCTCTGCTATAAGTCTCAAATGCCATCTGATGATATTTTTAGCTTTGGGTTTTGTGGAAGGTAGTGGTCTACGACGTTTATAGATTCCAATTTTTTTTTTTTGTTAGTCACAGGATATTAGTTCCAACATAGAGGTGGACAGGGAATGGCTATTCTGGGGGTTAAAGCTAGTCAACCTGCAACATCCCAGCTTCCCCCCATCACTGAAGTCCTAACCAGTCTGTCTTTGCAGACACAGCTTCTTTCCAGGAATCTTATGGGCAAGAGAGCTTTGAAAATGTGTGATACCTTGGTCCTGTCCTTAGCAATTCAGATTTATTGGGCTGGGATGTGTCCTGAGCAGAATTGAGATTGTCATGAGAGTGCCCATGCATATTAGTAACAACAAAGAGTGAAGATTGTACCTAGTTAGGAACTCTAACTCTACCCCAGGTTCAATCAGTTCTGCCATGAGATACATTCCCCAGTATCTGGGTTCCATTGTCTCTCATCTGTAAGGTATTATAGGCTGCCTCCTAGAGGGGTGTTACACAGACAGCAGGTGAGTAACAGTCTCTGAGCCCATTCCTGCGCTGGCTTCTGCACTGCTGAATGAGCAGTAGCCCTTTGCAGTTCTCCAGTCCACTTCACCAATAACACCACTATTTACTGTTCGAGTTTTTAGTAATCTGCTTTAGAAATCATCGAGTCCTTTTCATTTGCTGGCCTTTAGGGGACAGGTTAGCTGTAGATGTCTGTAGATGTAGTATTTAAGTTGAGAAAAGAATGCTTAGTCTTTTATGTCCTGAGAGATTTTCTGTCATTTCTCAGCTCTTGATTGTATTACAAAAAGAAGTATTGAAAACAATACATCTGCCATGTGATTGTTGAGTAAAGTCTTGCTTGGGACTTGAATATTAGTAATACGGAAGGACCTCTAGACATCATGGCTCAATCTATTTCTTTAAGGAACTGGATTTGAGCTGCAGTCTTCATCAGGTCATAATTGTGAATTGTTAAAACACCCCTTTACAGTATAACTCCCGGAATAAGCAGATTTGTCCTACTTTAAGGATTAATGAAACCTGAACTTCATTTAAGCATATGTATCACATACCTGCAGTGGGAACCATCTATGCCAGATGTCTAGTTATTAGACATCTGTTAACTGTCAGTGCGACTCTTTGGGGACATGCTAGTCTTTTACTGATATAGAAGTGAAGACCTACTTGGTTAAATTGCATAGGAGTTTTGTTTTTTTTTTTTTTTTAACAAGATCCATCTAAACATTCTGAAATTGGTATTCTTTGCTCTTGTGTCCATTTCATACATAATATACTGCACTTTGTTCATTTGGAAGGAGGTATAGGGAGAAAGTAAGGATTTTATTTATTTATTTATTTATTTATTTAAAAAATATCCCAGCATATGTGACATGGCGTGGACATTAAGTTTGCCTTTAGGGATCCCTACCCCAGTGAAGGTCACGGTGGGGCTATCATGGTTTATGGTTGCATTACTACTTTTTGCGCTCCATATTATTCTTTCCTACATAAAGCTAGTTTAATCTCACACATTAACCTCTTCTTATCTCAAACTTGGCTTGTAACCTTATGCTAGCTTGGTTTTATTGGGGGTGGGGTGGGGGTGAGGTACTCCTACCAGAGGTGAATCTGGATTTTTCATGAAAATGTATTGTATGGGTTTTCTTTTCTCTCCTGCCATTTAGACACAGTCTTATGGTTGTCAGCTAGCCCTCTAGCAGCTCAACATAGCTGTGCTGTTGCTATAACATATATTTCTTTCCTTAGCCAGCACCCCCATTTCCCTCCAGTCACAATATGAAGTTTTTTTTTGTTGTTGTTGTTTTGGTTTTTTTTTTTTTTTTTTTTTTTGGTGTTTTCCAAGTGGCAAAAGAGGCAGGAATAGAAATATCACAAACCTACCAACTGTACTGTTATTTCGTACTATATAGAAGGGGGGCTAAAATACCTATAATTAAAGTCTTTTGGAGAAACCATACTATTTCTGTTGAACTTTAACATTGTGAAAATATCCACTAAGCTCATAATTGTGACTGAAAGATTTAATATTAACTCATAGGTCCTGCCTCCTTATTATGGTACTCTTTATATAATTCGGCAATGAAATTGTCTCTTACTGTGTTCATTTGTACCACAAGATTGTAAATAGCCCATTCTGCAAGAACTCATTAAGGGTCTTCCCAGAACCTAGTCAAATGCCCAACAGAAAAAGGACCTATGTCAGTTAATATACCTGAAAGGTACTAATTAGACTGTGACCTTCTAACTTTGTAAATATCTAAAATGGAAGAAAGGCTGGGAGAGCAAAGAGGTGGGTGAACAATAGAGAAAATGACTAAGTATTGGTATGGAACAGAAAGTGGATTTTTTTAAAAATTGGTTAAATAAATGTTCTTTTTCAGAATGCGAGAGCTTCTTAGATGTTGGACTGGGCACAGAGTGTGCCTCAAAAGAAGGTGTGCTTCAGAGAGGGTCAGGGAGTGATTCTGACCTCTTTCACTCACCCAGCGATGAAATGGACAGCATCATCTTCTCAAAGGTATTAGAGGAGCCTTCTGTGTTCGTCTCACTTGGCCTTATTACTTAAGCCCTTTTTCTGTAATTTTTCCCTTGTGCTCATTGCCATGCCATACTTTTATGTATGACTCTAGCTAATGAATTGTGATCCAGCTAAGCTATGTATTCTGAGTAACTGTGGGGGACTTAATTTTGTTTGTCCTACCTGCTTTCTTCCCTCCCTCCCTTCTTTCTCTTTCTAAGCTGAAACGAACAGCCTAGCTGAATCACTCACAAAAGAGTAAGTACTCTGTTTAAAGAAGAAAAATCCATATTGCCAGGGCTTAGAAACAGGCCTTGGCCAGATTTGTTAGATTTATCTTCTGAAAAATCATGGGTGGTTACATGAGTGGTTTGAAGCTTGCATTGAAATCAGAAGGCATGGGAGTTCCTTTAGAATGAACTAAGTCAGATGACAGTGTACACCCTTTAGTGGTTAGAAAGGGACCACAGCTCAGACTGTATGATGTCATATGTATAAACTAACCATAGAGTCATTCTGATTAATGTGTGGATGCCTGGAACTCACTGCTAAGTCTGGTGACATCATCCTTCATCCAGACTTCTTAATTGGAACTTTCTAGATCTACGATAGAGAACAAGCTTTTTCTCTAGTGAAGAGCCGGGGAAGATGGAGGTTGGAGCTTGGGGTTGTTTCTGTGTGCAGCAAGTTCTGTTTTGTCCTCTTAAGAGGCCGTTCCCACAGCAGAGAGGGCAGGACGTCCTGTACTCAGCTACATGCCACAAGTGGTTTTCCTAATAGTAAGGACTAAAGGGACAAAACCGTTGTAGCAGCTATGAAGAAGAGTCTTCCTTCTGGTTTGTTAGTGGGTGATTAAATGGTTCAAGACAGTGTGATGTTCCTGTGTTTAGCTGTTATGGTTCAGGAACAATGTCATAGAATTCAAGCATTCTGCTCTTTTCATTTTTGTTCATCAGTCCTCACATTCCCATTGTTCTTGCCTAACCCTCCCTTTCTATGCTGTTCCTTTGACTGTCATCTGAAGGCAAGGAAAGATTTATCATATGACTTTAGCATTTCTGTCTTGTCACTTGCTGGCCAGGTTGGTGGTGCATGCCTGTAATTGCAGCACTCAGGACATTGAGGTAGGAGGATTGTGAACTTGATGTAGTAATTTGGCCCAGTCCTGAGGGGTTTAGGGGAAGATTTACCTTTGAAATCACATAGGAAGAGGAAAGGTTTGGGAACCTTTTTTGTTTTGCCTGCCTACCTTCCTCCCTCCCTTCCTTTTCTCCCTATGCATTTTTTAAATTACAGTTTTGAGGGAGGAGGCATATGTGCTTCTGTGTTCTTGTAGAACTCAGGATAAAAATTCTAGCTTTGTTATTGTCTCAATGACTGGAACTGAGTAATGAATACTTAAGATATTATCAAACAATTATGTACGCTTATGTGTCCTGATAGTAAAAAGGTTGTGGGTTTTTTGTTTGTTTGTTTTGGTTTTGGTTTTTTAAAGATTTATTTTTATATCAACATTATGTTGGGAGTGTGGTTCATGGAGGCCAGAAGCAGGCATTGGATCCCCTAGAGCTGGAGTTGGAAATTGTATAAGCTGCCCAATATGAATTCTGGGAATTCTTTGGAAGAGCAGAAGAGCAGCAAATGATCTTAATTGCTGAGCCATCTCTCCAGCTTAAGTTTTGTCTTTTAAGTTGAATAATCTTCCTTCAGGAAATACTTGTTTACCTACCTCTTTCCTATATAACATTTGGACAGTTTGTACCTGGTGTTAACCTCTCCTTGGTTTGCTTACCTTAAAAATATATATATATCAGAATTTCCTGTACTTTACCATCTTATTCAAGCTATTAAAAGCATGCCGGAGATATTCATATAAAGAACCTTTGCTAGATACTGCACATTTATCCAGGGAGAGTAGGCAATATTTTTTTAAAGCTGAGACTAGCACCTCAAACAAACTTCTACCTACATTGTAAACTGGAGTGGCTAGAGAAAAGCCAGGCAAGGCAGATGAACTTGTACCTTCATGCATGTAAGAGACTGTCCAGATGGCCTGGAGCCAAATGGGGGTGGGGATGTTTCCTCATTTCTTCTTCCAAAGCTGTGAGTGCCTGGAGTCCTTATAATAACTTAATTTTTCTAGCATTTATAAAATGAAGGCTGGTTAATAATATTGAGAAGGCATTGACCTGAAATATATAATGTCATAGCCCAGCAGCCAGGTAGGTAGTTTTGTCTCTTTTACCATATAGGTTGGTGTGTGCTGGCTAGTTTTATGTCAACTTGACCCAGCCTAGAGGCATTTGAGAAGAAAGAACTTCAATTGAGAAAATGTTCTCTACCAGGTTGGCCTGCAACCAAACCTATGCTGCATTTTCTTGATTGTTGATTGATGGGGGAGGGGGCAACTAGCTCATTGTCGATGGTGCCACACCTGGGCCAGTGGTCCTGGGTTCTATAAGAAAGTAGGTGAGCAAGCCATGAGGAGCAAGGCCTGGAAGCAGAACCCCTCCATAGCCCTTGTATCAGCTCCTGTCTCCAGGTGCCTGCCCTGTTTTGGGTTCCTGCCTTGACTTCCCTCTGTGTTGGACTGTCATGTGGCACTATAGGGTGAGATAATTTGCTTTAGGTCATAGGATTCTGTCATAACAATAGAACAATTGGTAAAGAGGTTTGCCTAAAATAACTGAATGACTGAGTAACAGAATGTAGGCTTGACGTTAAAGCCTCTTCCTGTTTTGTTAAACTGCTTTCAGTCTCTTCAGTGTGACTCTAAAAATCAATGATTTAATTCGAGACTATGTTGGTAGATAAACCATCAACTGCTCATTGCACTCTGGCCATGGTTGCAGTATGTGCTGTGCAATGTCACAGTCTCACAGTATCTTCTCAGGGCCTTTCCCTCCTCTCTTTCAGTCTTTTGGGGGGTTAGAGGGAGACTTTAGGCAAGCCATTGCAACATGCTTTTCTGTGGACTGTGAGTGATACATTAGGTCACTTCCTGCAGCCATTTGTTTATCTCTGGACCTTAGGAAGTCCCTTTAACAACATGTACCTCCTGGGAAATGTGATTCTTTGAGTGTTAAGAGCTCCCTGAAAGATTCAACAGCTCTATTTTTTTTCTGGGTTTTTATAACACAATATTGGGGGAGGGGGATGCCTTTCTCTTAGAAAGTTATAAAATTCATGTTTGTACCCTCAGAAAGATAAACATATTGCTAAACACAAGATAGACAAGAATACATTTTATATATTGATACTACACCTGGAGGAATCATATTTAGTACTGCCAAACAGTCCTTCATTTATTCAACAAGTACTTATATTATGTATTTTATACATAATATGTACTATCTTGAAAAACAATAGCTCACATTTTAGATACTCACCACATGCCTCAAGTTACATAATCGTTTAATATAGAGCATTCTAAGAATCTTGAGTCTCAGATCAGAGTGATGTACACCAACTATGTTTTCTCAGCTAGTGCCAAAAAGAATCACAGGATTTCATCTCACTTTAAAAATAAAGTATATTTTTTAGGCTGCTGATCTCAAATTGACCCTAGGAACCAGAAAATGTTTGTAAGAAAAAATATGAAGCTTTTAACACTCAAAGAGTCACATTTTCCAGGAGGTACATGTTTTTAAAGAGCCTACTGTCATTTTTTTGTTTACTTATTACATAGCTGTGCTTCTGTTCATCACCAATCTGCCTAAAATTGATGGTACATTTCAAAACAAATTGCAGGTATGTCCATACACATCACGGGGGTAAACTCTTAGAAGCAGTATTTTTCTATAGTTGTGAGATTGGGGAATGTATATATAAATCCTGAGGATTTATTTGCTTTTTGTAAGTACATCCTCCACCTTTGTAACTTGGAGGTGCACAAGCATATAGACTGTAAGCATTAACTATAAAAAGTCTCCTCACATGACACACTTTTCAGTGACCACTAAACCCTCCAGAAGAAACACAAAAGATATTTTTCCCCCTCTGATTCATAAAGTCATATAAATGGGATCTGAAGAATATTGTCCTCCTGTACAACCCTGGAGGTGAAATTCTTAGTCATACAAGAAACTGGCCTTCTCTCTAGTGTTCTCACACGTGATGTATGAGAAGCCCAGTCACTCTACATCCTTAGCAACAAACACAGTTGTTTTAATTTTAGCGTTTCTGGTATCCATGCAGTATTATCTCATTATGGTTTTGATTTGTATTTCCTGACAACTAGTGATATTAAACAGATTTTCACATGTCCATTGGCAACTCATGTCTTCCTGTATATGTCTGTTCATATCTTTGTCCATTAAAATAATTAGATTATTTGTTGTTACAGAAGAGTGGATGATATATATCCTGGATACTGCTCCTTTGTTAGATTCATGATTGGCAAATATTTTCACTTGCCTATTCATTTATGTTTTGGTTAGCTGAAATTTCTAATTTGATGAGGCATAATTTGCAGGCTCTCGTATGTCTTCCCCTGTTGGCTTTTCTGTGCCTGTGTTCATGTTTTGCTTTACAGACTTATAGTTTTTGGCTTTTATTTTCAGGACTAAGATATATATCAGTATTATGTTTATAACTTTAACAATAGCTCTATGGTTTATTCAGGGGGATTCAGTCCTAGATGCTTTTAGAATCATGTGAAGAGCTTAATAAAAGGTGGAGTGGCAGCACCTGGCTCTGCCAGCTGACGAGCAAAATTAGAGTCCTGAGTTATTTTCTCACCTCTAAAAAGGAGATAAGAATATTTACTAAATAAAATAATGGGAAGGATTAAAAGGGATAATATATCTAAATTGCTAATGAACTCTCACAAGACATGCTATAAAAAACTACTCATAAAAATTAAAAATAAAACCTCACATGAGATAAGTACCTAGTAATTATGGATCAAATTTACAGCACAGTTTTTATATGTATAGTGTTGTTTTATTTAGGCCTTTCTGTTAATTTAAGCAAAACAGTGTCTGTGAACCATTTTATGACCCAGCTACTGCCCTCAAATGGAACTGTCTATTTAGGAGTTATTGCATGTACAGAGTAGCCACACTCATGCCTGTTTACTGTGTAGAGTACTCATAGGGACTTTAGCTACCCTGATTGCTTGCTTTTGCAAATTTTTAGTATTATACAAATTCTAATGAAAAAGATGGTCGTAGAGATAGAGACGTGTGTGTGCACACATGTGTTTGTGTGTTTCCAATCCTGCATTCAGGAGAAAAAAATAAACATTAAAAACTCAAGGAATAAATGATGTTTTGGTCTGCTTCAAGTGTAGACTCAATTCTCCAACGTTTTTCTTTTTAACATGCATATCTGCTCTCTCTCTCTCCTACCTCTTATGTGTACTTTCTCAGTCCCTTCTACTCTTTGATGCAAAGGGGTGGGGAGAAGGGCTTGATTTATGTTTTGACCTCAGATAACTAGTTTTTATTCCACATAAGTCAAATATCATGAATTGATGCCATGGTACCACCCTTTAATACAGTTCCTCATGTAACCCCTAACCATAAAATGATTTTATTGCTACTTTATTTTTGTAATTTTGCTATTATTATGAATCATAATGTAAATATATGATATTCAGGATATTTGATATTCGACCTCTGTGAAAGGGTCATTCAACACCCAAAGGGGTTTTGACCCACAAGTTGAGAACTGCTGCTCTTGGCAAATATTTTGGGATCCAAGATCTCTTTAAAGAATAACTGACAGTACTAAAGAGCTCTTGAGGAGGACTTCAGATTTTAGGCTTAAAACATCTTCTTACAGGTTAAAAGTGATAACTTTCTCCCTTCTACTATACAAGTAGAAATTCAGTGGGGGTGACATATAGTAAATAGTGAAAGTAATAGTTTTTTACATCTTTCTATGTCGCTCTAAGATTTTACATCATATATTTAGATCTAGGGACTAGAATTTTCTTTTGAAAAGAATACAAATTCCTAAAAACCTTAGACTGTGCTTTTTCATAAGCTTTAAACTAACACTTTAGGCCAGGCTGTGGTGGTGCATGCCTTCAATCCCAGCACTGGGGAGGCAGAGGCAGGAGGGTTCGAGGCCAGCCTAGTCTACAGAGTAAGTTCTGGGACAGTTAGAACCTGTTACACAGAGAAACCCTGTCTCAAAAATAAAATAAAATAAAATAAAGTGCACACAACAAAACCAAAACCTAACACTTTAGATCCAAAGACCATGAATGTATGTCTTGAAAAATAGAGAGGACATGTCCTCATGCCAGCAACCAGGACGCTTCAGTCAGAGGATCTGGAACTCAAGGTCAGCCTTGAGCACAACAGGGAGATCCCTGTCTTAAGACAGAGAGGAGGCAGCATTCTTATTAGTTAGAATGGTATGGCTAAATGTCATGCATCTGTTAGAGTAATTATGACTACTATAGAAAATGCATAATTATATATGAAGCTGTCTTCTGGTTAGAGTACTCATAATTTTGTTTGTTCTTTTTTCTTTTCTTTTTTACATTTATTTACTTATTTATTTTGCATATGGGTGTGCATATCCCTCCATGGTGCTTATGTAGAGGTGAGAGGAAACCTTGGAGAGACAGTTTTGTCCTTCTGTCCTTCTAACTCAGGTCATCACTATTGGCCAAATGTGCCTTTGCCTGCTGAACCATCTCACTATTCCACTCAAAATTTTCTGTATGACAGGGATAATATAAGGGCATGGTAAAATAGGAAACTGTGTGACCCTTACTCTCACCAGGAATGCAAGACTGAAGACATCAAGTAGTTGCCATGAAGGCACCTTGGTCTTGTCTCAGTGAGAGCCAAGTTAGAATAAGTAAACATCAGGAGTCATAGAGTCTGTGTTGAGGATATAGTCTTGATATGTGTGGGAGCTGGGGAGATGGCTCAGCCGTTAGGAGCATTGACCCATCTTCAAAGGACCTGGGTTGGATTCCTAACACCCACATGGTGGCTCATAACCATCTTTAACTCCAGTCCCAGCGGATCCGGTGCCCTTTTCTGGCTCCCATGGGCACCAGGCATACATGTGGTGCACAGACATACATAAAATAAAATAATTTTTAAAAGAGAGGTGAAGATATGTGTATGAACAGGTCACAATATTTTTCTCATTTTGTTTTCATATTGCACCAAAAGACATATATATTTTTTAAAGAGTTTGACTTAAGAGTTTTGGATTGGAGGCTAGGATTACAGTGTATAACCTATTATATATCATTATGTTCCACTAATAATTCTATTTTAAAATAATATCTCTTGCCCATTAGAATGTACCTGATGAGGTAGTTTTATTTTGCCTCTTGAACCAGTAAAGAGACTCTTGGGTTCAGCTATCTTGTTCTCACATGTTTTTTAAAAAGGCAGCAGAAATAACACAGTAAGACCGTTTGAATCAAAGTAACCTGGATTCAAATCTTGCTATTAACTGTTCGATGATCTGGGACTGAAGTTTTCTGACCTGTCAGTGTCTTTTCTCTCCATTCATCTCACACTTTATTTAAAAAGCACCCTAGGGAATTGAACTTTTTCAGAGTGAAGGTAAACTGAAACCCAAACTGTGTAAAGGTGCCTTTCACAGGTGGTAGTGTGCTTTGGGTTAAAAGTGCCATCTAGCTTTAAAAAGACCCTGAGTTCAAGGCTATTTCCCATTCCAGTGCTGAAAGGACTCATTAGTTCTTGTGAGTTTTAACCTCTTTAATGATTTTTTCTTGAAAATCACATGTCCTCACCTTCTATTGCATTTTTTATTCAATTATTGTGTATGTGCATGGATGTGTGCCATGGCATACTTGTAGAAGTTAAAGAACAACTTGGAGGAGTTACTTCTCCTTTAATTTGTCTTACTAAAACACTGCACCAAAGACCCTGGGCTCAGTGTCCACATCTTTAATACTAGTACTCAGGAAGTATGGCACTCTCTGTGATTTAAGGCTGGTCTGGGCTCTATGGTGACCTCCGAGGCTTTGTAGTATGAGCCTGTTTTAAAGATTTTCTTTATTATCACCAAATGTCTTGATTAAGGGTGTACTGTGAAAGGGTAGGGAGACATTCTGCATTCCTTTACCTGTTTCTTGTTCCTTGTCTAGTGAAAAAAGCCAAAATAACCTTTTGGTCTTTTGTATAATATGAAATGAAATTAATCTTTGCTTTACTCATCATTTTGGGCACCTGATGTCTCTCAATATGTAGAGAGTGTCAAGTCACTAAAACAAGTTTTGCCTAACTCCTCCTAGGTCCTAGAGTTTAGCCAGGAAAGGAGCATTGCCACCTTATTCAAACCTGATTATTAGGGTTATTTCATGTGATTTGGCTTCAGAGCACTCAGCCAATTCTCTGTAACATGAGAAGTAGTGGCATTCTTCTGTTCCTGTCCTTGTGGCAGAGTTTTGGTGGAATTAAAACTATTGGGCAATTTACAAAAATGAACAACAGTCTTGCTTGGCTTTGGAATGACAAATTCTCTATATTATTGTAGCTATACGGGCTGGCTTGTTTCTGTTAGACCTTCTAAAAACCTAGTATGATAAGAGCTTAGAATTTCATATAGCAGAAACCCTAGAGACTAATGGTTTTCTTCATTTAGGTTTATGGTGGGTTGAAAGAACTAAACTAAGAGTTGTTTTTGTCTCTATTAAAAAGAAAAATTAATGTGTCTTTTATATAGTTTAGTACCCTTAGTAAAATGATGATGTTATATCTAGAACATTCATCTCTAAGAAGCCAGGAGACTTAGAATCTAACTGTAGTCATGAATTAAAAAAAAAAAAAAAAAAAAAGATCAGCTTGAAGTCTATTATGAAACACCACCATGGTCTGTCAGAGCAGGTATCTTTGTTCTGTTGGTTTCAACCCTGTGTGGTCTCTCTATTACAGCCTGAGGAAGAGCAGTTACTTTGTGATACCACAGGATCCAGTTCTTCTACAGATGACACAGCTTCCCTGGATCGACATTCTTCTCATGGTAGTGATGTGTCCCTTCCTCAGACTTCAAAGTTAAATAGGTCCAGAAATCATCAAAGCCCCGACGGCTTTTTCAGCCATGGAGTGGGACCTGAGAGTCGGGAGAGTGAGGGTGAGCCTGCTGGCTCTGGTGAAATGGAAGAAGAGGAAATGGACAGCATCACTGAAGTGCCTGCAAATTGCTCTTTTCTGAGGAGCTCCATGCGCTCTCTTTCACCTTTCCGGAGACACAGCTGGGGTCCTGGGAAGAATGCAGCCAATGATGCAGAAATGAACCAGCGCAGGTAAGACGAGAGCCTGTGCATTTCATGGCTCAGTGTGTTCTCCTTTGAGAAGATCTGATTTAGCATTGTTAATGGTTTAAAAAAAAAAAAAAAACATTAAGGAGACAGTGGTAGAGAGAAGGTAACCCAAGCTTTGAAACCAGGCAAAGGTACATTCTGATTCCATCCTGGGCAGCTCCTTGAGCAGTGTAGGATTTCCGTTCAATGATGTATTTGTGGTAACATAAGCTATTGCTGTCACATAGTGAATATTTAGTAAATGGCAAGACTTATTCTTACCAGATTAGTCAATCAGTGAACTTCATGAATCTGGAAGAGAGAATTCTGTTAACTTTTAATTAAGTAATATGAAATCTTACTGTCTCAACACGTCTAAGTGGTTTGGTGTTTTTCTAAGCTAAGGATTACAGACATGTTTCTAATACAGAAATCTGATAATGTCTAAGTTATTAATGTATAATTCTCAAGAGGACATAAGACTCATACATACACTAAAATTGTCCGTCTTTCATATGTGTCATAATGTTTGAGGAATATTTACAAGTGTTGCCCAGCTTTCGTCCTTCAGTTTGGCAGCAGCCTGTAAGAATTTGGGTTGCCTTCTGACCTCTGACTGTTTTAATTCTACAGACGAAATGCAGCAGCATCTAACAGGTTACAGGTGTGCTTGCCCCAAGGCCGCTTTACTTGCCTAAAGAGATGCTCTCAGCAAGGAAAAGAGGGTGCTGCTAGTTTTTAATTTTGACTGATCTTTGAAGTAGGGTCTTGCTATATCAATCTAGCTGATATGGAATGCATTGTTTGGTACAGGCTAGCCATTAACTCCAGACAGTTCTCCCTAGCTCAGTCTTTGAGTTTCTGAGAATGCAGACAGGAGCTTCCATACTCAACTGCTGACATTTGCTTTAAAATAATTGTTATGAATAACACAATCATTTGAGCTTTTTTTTTCCCCCTCCTCATTATATTATGACTATAAGTACATGTAATCTTAATCACAGTAGTCAAGGTTTTTTGTTTTGTTTTGAGACGGAGTCTCTTGTAGCCAAGGCTGGCCTGAATATCACTATGTAAGCCAGGCTTGGCCTCCTGATCCTCCTCCTTCCACCACCCAAGTGTTAAGACTTTTGACAGGCATGCACCACCATATATTCTCTTAATGTGTATGAGTGCTTTACTTCAATATGTATCTGTATCATGTGTGTGCTTGTTGCCCAAGGAGGTCAGAAGAGGATATCAAATCCTTTAAAACTAGAGTTACAGACAGTTGTGAGCCACAGTATGGGTGCTAGGAATCAAAACCAGGTCTTCTGGAAGAATAACTAGTGCTGTTAACTACTGAGCCATTTTTCCAGACCTTCATTTATTCCTTTAAAGAATCAGCCATCACACATTGAGCATTCTTTTTATGTCTGGTAGTATCCTAGGTTCTGGAGGAACAGTGGTAAACGAGACACTAATCCCTGCCCCTCAAAGAGCTCAGAATCAAACTCTCTACTTTATTGGATTGCCAGTTTTTTCAAATTCTTTATGCCATATTGTTTTACATTGTCTTTTAATCTTCTCCATGATTCAGGGGTTATTTTTCACATAGTTGAGGAATAGAGGTCTGTTAACATTTTTCGTCATCTGCAGTAGAATCTAGGTTTCTAATCTCAGTTAAATCTGTGTACAATCTGGCATTATTCCATGGTTTTAGGGTAATAGTCTAAAATAATAAGCAGTGCCTTATCTTGCTATATTGTATTTATATCCTTTTGAAATCTCAGGTTATATAAAAACTAATTTCTAAGTGCTGTTTTTCCAAGTTTTATACATGCTGTCTTCTTTTAAGACATTGATACAAACATCAAGAATGATCTCACAGGCAGAAATTACTTCCTGAAGCCTGAGTAACTTCATGATAGGATGCCCTTGTCTTAGGTGATAAAGGACTAATCAGGAAATGGGAATGTATTTTGTAAATAGCATTCCTATATAACTTACTGTAGATCTTTTGTGGTGACTGACTTCAGAGGTATATGTATTTGAATCATATATATCAGATGAAGAAATTGAAGCCAGATTTGATGGCTTGCCCAAAGTTACATGATGATCTTTGACTTCAGCCTGTATATCATGCCTGTTTAAACTTAGTGTAAAGGATTACCTACTACTGTCTTAATACCTTGAGATGCAATGGAATAACAGATTTAATCACTTTAATAGTCTGACTAATTTGTATATTATTACTTGTATATTTTGTTACCTGATTTTAAAACCCAAGGAAACCCCTTTTTATGTTTTGAATAGAACTTTTCTCTGACCCATTTATTTTCATAACATATACTAATCTTCATAACTTGTCATCCAATTCACTCCTTGGAGTATACAGGAAACAAAAGCTACCTTTTCGTCAGGCATTTGGGCTTCTGATATTTTTGTAATTCCATGCTTTTGGTCTCTTCCTTCCTTTGCTGTTTGTCTTTGGGGAATATGTTTCTTTAAAGTGTGTTCTCCATGTTTTGTGCATTTGTGTATCGTTGTGGTTCACCTCCATTATTGACCTCTTCCATCATTCATTTTCAGTTCAATGCAAGTTCTTGGGGATGTTGTCAGGAGACCTCCCATTCATAGGAGAAGGTACAGAGTTCACTAAATTGAACTAACCATGTCATCTCTGAGTGTGTACTAACAAGCATCTCATTTTGTTACCGTGACAAGACAGTGATTTTAAACATTAATTTCTGGTTTGGGCAAATAAAATATAGGTGCTTCTTAATTGCTCTGTCTACCTGATAGGAAATGGTTTCTTTAACCTAAAGTTTTTTTCTAATTCTAAAATTATAGAATGCACACCCACTTACTGGTTCAAATGACTCTGTTTAGTGTTGTTTGCTTTTTGTTTATTTTTGTTTTCATGTGGTATATAACTAATGGACTTTGGGGGATATTTTTCTCTGTAACCAGAATGAAAGAGAATAGCCAGAAATATATTTGTGCTCACTCACACATAGGTTCTAAAATATTTTCAGTAATTCTTGAATAATGTGAATAAAGATTTTTATTAGTTGGTTACCTGGTTATTTCTGTCTCATTGTTGACAGGATATTTTCAGAAAGCAATCTGGCTTTCTGAAGCAAAAAGGCTTATACTTTTTTTAATTGCTTAATTATTACTTATCAAGTAAAAGTGAAGCTAGTATTTATAAACTAAGAACTAATTTCTACTTAAACATACTCAGTTGCTTCATGTTTTAAATTTTTTCATTGTGTTGTGTAAAGCTGTTGACTTAAAAAAATATTTAGAAATCAAAAGTGTGATTATTTTATTGTGTTTCTCATGTGAAGAGACATATGCAAAGATACTTTCATCTGTTGGCAGAATATTTGTGAGAAAGGCAAAATAGTAACTGTCCTACCTTTTTTCCCTATCATTTTCAAATGTATCTTCCTTTAACTCCTTATTTTAGGGGAAGTTTTGATCTTAAAGTCTGACATTTTCATGAATCTAAATGGTCGTGATACCAGTTAGGTTCTTCATGTGAACAAATTATTAAATGCTTTTTTCAGTAGATCGTATGTAAAACTTTTAGAAATGTATTTACTGCTGTCTCTGGTAAAAGCTCTTCATTATGAACTAACTGAAGCTTGCACTAGATTACATGGTGAAGGACGACAAGTTGTTGCCTGCAGCCCAAGCTGTGCTCACTAGATTCATAACTTGACTTTATAATATATCATAAGTTAAAAAACATTTTCGTAGAAAGAACATGATTCATAATTTTAAAATTTAAATTGAAACATCCCAACAACTATTAGAGAAGAAAGTTGTTCTCAAAAAAAAAAAAAAAAGAAGAAGAAGAAGAAGAAATAAAGAAAAAAGAAAACTGTACCTCCTAAATTTCAAAGCCAAAGAACCTTATGATTTTGGAGGCTCCCAGAAATGCACTTTAATTATGACAGGAGTCAGAGAAGGCTTAGACCAATTGCAGCTTGCCAGATCCTGTGAGGCTTGTATGGTCTTTTTGTGCTCTGTTCAGCATCTTAAATGTTTTTCATAGCATCATCATAATCTCAGAGTAAAGGAGAAATTTAAAACTCTACAAAGAGATTATTCTTTAAGACTGATGATTTGGCAGTATATATTGTGTTAATGGTTTTCTGATTTTTTTTTTTTTTTTAAAGAAATCAGAGCTGAGCATGGTGGCATACACCCAGCCCTTGGTAGGCAGAGGCTAGAGGATCTCTGAGTTCAAAGCCAGCCTGGTCTACAGGGCTCCACAGAAAACCCCTGTCAAGAAGGAGGAGGAGGAAAGGGGGAGGGCGGGAGGAGGAAGGAAGGAGGGACAGAGGAAGGAAAAAAGTGAAATCAGATACTCATGTATCCAACTGGAACTTTAGAAATTAAGTTAATAACTTTAAAGAATGGACTTCTGAGCCTTAAAAATGTTTGTAAATTATGTTTTACTTCTGTTTATACAAGTAAGTTTGAGTCAGTCTAATCTTACTTCCCAGATGAGAGTTGCCTCAAACTATGTATTTCTTTCTCCTTTTCTGGGCCTAACACTGTTACTTAGTCAGATTTGAAAACATTTATACCATTTAGAACAGCTGTAGAGGAAACTATCCTAACATCCCACCATTTTCCTCGACTCAAATCTAGTCCACCAAGCAGTGTTGTTGGAGGTCTTAGAGGTTGAGACCACCAAATGGTTTTCCTGTCCCTAGCAGTGCTTTAACTTGTCCACGAGCTCTTTGTTGTCTTTGTTATTGTTGTTTAAGACAAAAGTACAGCACTTAGAATTTTAAGACCCCCCCCCCCAAAGCACTATTTTTTTAGATGACAATAGTTGTTAATCAAAATTCTGACCTAGGACCACACCTTGGGGATGTGTCTCAAGTAACTAAACAAATAAGCAAACAAAGATCCTGACCTTTTGATACAGTTCTAGTCACAAAGTGCCTGTTATGTAACTCGTTTTAACCTTTCCACCGTAGATTTTCTTCCCCTGCTATGTTGCATAAGATAAACAAGGAAGCAACTGCTCAAATGGATGTTTATTTAACCTTGGGGAAATGAATATAAAATTAAAATTTTAAAGGCATTTCCATCTTAAAACTCCTAAGAAAAACAAATCTGCTGATCAGTTTAAAACTGTTAAGGAAGGTATTGCCTCTATTGTTGTTGCCTCGTTTTAAGCAGACAGACCTAATGAATTGCTTTTGAAGAAGAAATAGGAGTTGGCTGTTATATAAGATATTGCCTTGCTTATCTAGACCCTTAATAGGAACAAATGGGGAAAAAAAAATACTGACTTCTCAGTGAGGCCTCTGAGCTGTCTGTAGTGTTTCCTTTCTTTTTAGTCAGGGAAGGGGAGCAATGATGAATACAGAGAGGCACTTGGATTTCGGAACACCTCTCTGGGAACATCTGCAGAGAAAGCCATGAGTGGGGTACACTTTTCCCCAAGAGATTAGAAGAAGGAATTCTTGAGTTTCAGTTGGAGTAATTATCCCATAAAGAGCACACATGACCTTTCCCAAAACAGTGTCTGAATAGATATTAAATTCCTGTGGTCCTTTTTCTAGCCTTTTCCTAAATTCTTACTGTTACATTCCTGTTTTTTGTTTGTTTTGTTTTTTTTATAAATGATTACATGTCTATCTCTGTGCCCTTTCTTTTTAAACTGAATAACCCAAACCTGTTTCCTCTTTTCTCCCTCCATTTCTTGTTTCTGCCTTTGATGTCATCTCCAGTATGAGCTGGTGTCCCTCTGGTGTGCAATATTCGGCTGCCCTGAATCCTGACTTTAATTTCAGAAGGTATAGTATTACATGTCCAGCCACCCAACCATGAACCATAAAGTACGACTTCTGGCCTTGGGCTGTAGCTGGCTTCTCTGTGGCTGGAGTGCATATGGGTAGCCTGTGATACCTGTGAGCATAGCATACTGCTGCCTTTGCTATGGATGTCACTAACCCACTTGCAGGAGTATGACCTAGGAACAGTACCCACCTCTGCATCGTTTGTCTCAAGTAGCAGTAAATGGCTGTGTTTTCTGCATGAACCTTATGTCTTCTCTGTAAGCGCTTGTCTTTGGTTTGGTCTTTCCAAGTTCCCAGATTCTCAGGAGAACAATGAACCAAAACCCTGGTTTCTGTTATACTTTCAAGTCTTACGTTTCAGTTACAAATTTAGATGCCCCATCATTTTATATTTGTCTTTGAGTTAAGCAGCCAGATTTAATTATTAAAACATTTTCAGGATTAAGCTTTGTAGTAAGCATAGATCAGGTTTTCTCAGGCTTTTCAGATAATTCACAGTGGAAAACTAAATGTCTTCCCTTGGCTGAACTTACTTCTCATGCCTGGTGTTAAAAATGGGTTCTACTGAGACATTTAGTTGCGGTTCATTATGGCTTCTATTGCCATATTGAAATAAGAACAACAAGCTTGTTAATAGTGTACCCACTAGAGAAAAGAGAGACATGTGGCTTCAGTTCATAAGTGACTTATGAAGAAAATCCCTTCTGGGCTGGCACATATGAACTTAATTGTAGCAATTAACTGTACAGTTTTCCCAGAACAGAAATAACTGTATAACTTCAGTATACCTCCAAGTACAATTTCAGCTGATTAACTGAGAATACAGTTAGCCACAGCTGTATTCTTCTTTCAGAGACGTTTCCTTCCCACTGTAGTTACAGCAGATGTGTACATTACTCTAGTTAGAAACTCCGAAGAGAGTAGACAGCTAGCCTTCCTCTTAGCCTCTTACTTTCAGAAAGTAACCACAGAATCTGTGGCTGAGAGCTCCCTCTTAGACCTCCACCCCACTTGCTTTGTCAGCACTTATGCTCCTGTGTTTTGTGTGTCTGTCTGTAGCTGACGAGTCTCACTAGCCCTCATCAGGAACTGTCTGGCCAGCTGTGCACAAATCGGGCTGCTCATTAGTGAAACCAGGGTTTTCTGGGTAGACGTGTACCCAGAGAGCTGTCAACCAAAATGTAATTGAGTGTAAAGTTTTGTAATGGCCCACATAATGAGCACACAGCCATGTCACTCCCTTTCCATTCTCAAAGCTCCTTATGCTTGTGCCTGTGACATCAGATGAGTTAGAGTCTGGAGAGATTACTTTGATCACATCGATGAAAACCCATACATGCATACAATGTGGGATAAATTTGTCTGTCCATCCGGTGTGCTGAAAAACAGCTGAGAAAATGGTATCTGGTTCAACATTCAGATAAGTTGAATGAGGTAGGGAAGGAAATGCGTCTTTCTCAGCATCCAAGGCCACTAGGGGGGAAGGTGAGTGGTGTTCATCTGCTCTGTGGCCTGCAGACATTTTGAGTAGGAAACACAGGAATAATATACAAGTTAGAGGAATTTTTGTTTCCTCCCATTCTGAGACCTGTGAGCAGTGAATGAACTCTTGTGCTCTGTGTTCAGTTTCAGCCTGGAAGGCTTGACAGGAGGAGCTGGTGTTGGAAACAAGCCATCCTCGTCTCTAGAAATGAGCTCGGCAAACTCTGGTGAGCTCAGAAACACTTTCAGTAGTGAGGAACAGAGAGACTCTCTGATGTCACTTTCAGAAGAACATCTGGAGCCAGACCAGAGACAGCATCATAGGATGTTTGACCAACAGGTAAGCCTAAAATAGGTATGTATTGCTAATGGGGGTGATAGTGGAACATTACCCCCAAATATGATCTCATTGTTTTATGCTTTTTATTAGTATAAAGCTAGAGTTGTGATTATTTGCCTATTAGATGATATCTTCAAGTCTAGCAATAACATGTTTTTAACACTAAACATGAATATTTATGAATACATCAATCAGGGCTGGAGACACGGCTACAGAGTAACTGGCATTTGGTTCCCAGCACTCACACATAGTGGCTCACAGCCATCTGTAACCCCAGTTCCAAGGATCTAATGCTTCTCATCTCCAAGGCACCAGACATGACCGTGGTGCACAATACATACATTCAGAAAAAAATAGGTAAATATAAAAAATATTATTTTCAGAAAAGAACACATTAATCTATACAGATTTAAATATTCCCTCACCACCAATGTGTTGGGATTGTAAAAGTGTTCAGGACATGCAGCTTCCTTTATCTATATTCTTCTACTAGCTTGTTGTAAATTGAGTTTTTTAAAGTGCATTGCATGTCATTATTACATCTACCAATTTGAAAGTCCATGCCCCAACGTTTATTTCTAGGAGAAAACATGTTCTTTGTCTCAACCATACTATTCAAGAAATGCCTGTTGATTCCCTTCCTTAGCTGTAAGAGCTACAAGCCCCTATAAGTGAGTTGTCCGATGCCATGTAACATTAAGCTGCATTCCAAACTCGGTCTTGGTGACTGTTAGTCTTATTACTTCTTTCCATGACCTAGAAGTAGACAGGTTTTAATAAGACTGTTTTAATTTTCTTAATACTGTTTGCGTGCCCTTTTCTGAGAGGAATAATTTCCAGAAACTTGACAAATGACCATTGTCTTTTAGTAAATGATACTAATTACCACTGTTCTCTTTCCGATTTAATCTTTATAGATAAAATCAACATTTCTAGATAAACATCAGCATTGTTGTGCTGTGCTATACCATACTCTGCTCTGCTCTGCTTTGCTATTCAGTCTTCCTAGAACTTTCATCTTACCTTTAGTTCCTCTTGTGCACAGCCTCAGTGTGGGTGTTGTGCTGCGTGTATCTCTCTGATCTAGACAAGTTGCCTGCAGCCAACTTCCTCTTGAAAGTCTCTGCTATTCGCTGAGGTCATTTTTCAGGCCTCCCAGTTGTATCTGAAACATAGCAACTGTTTGTCTCAGATTCCATGGTTACAGATGGAACAAGCTCTAAATAATCAGAAGTCATCTTTGGCCCAAATGAGTGTGAATGCATGCTAGCAGTAGATGTTCAGTGTCTCTCTTTCAACTCGAATGAGTCATGAAGAGGCAGATTTCATCTTGTGAGACGATTAGAATGAGTTGTCTCAAAAGAGGCCTGAGTCCCTTATCACCAGGCACCATGATTCCTTCAGGGGTGTTAAAAGGAGCTTCTGCTTTTGCTTGGGACTACACAGCTTTTAAAATGCTGTGGATTTAAATTGCCAGTAACACTGCCCAGGAAGTTAAGTTACTAAATTGCAGTCACCCTGGGTTCGTGTGGAATCAAAAGAGGAAGTGAAAAAGATTTAGCTCCTTCCCAAATGCATGGTTGTTTTGCTAATGCTCTTGAAATCCTTCTACTCACATCCCAGTTTCCAACTCCTTATAATCAGAGTAGCAGCATATCATACTGTATGTCTGTGAAGATGTTTTGATTTTTTTTCAAAGGAGCAATATACTACAGTATTTGACTTCCGGTGAAGTTACCAGATTGTGTGCCCAGCAAATACCTACTGATCACGTACTCAATATAAAACATTGTTAGATGCTCTGAGGATTGTAAAACCACTGTGAATGATGAATACACTCACCAGTTTCAGGTGGAAAAAAAAAAAAAAAAAAAAGCAGGCATAGGAAAGCTGAGTAACTGTTTAGTGGCAGAAGCAGACTGGATTTCAAGTCTCCCTTCACCAGGTTGGGTCAGTGTAAATTCTGCACATGTCTAAATATATTGAACATGTACTTAGAACTCATTCCTTTTTTTTTTTTTCATAGATGTGTCACAGGTCTAAACAACAGGGATTTAATTACTGTACATCAGCCATTTCTTCTCCATTGACAAAATCCATCTCATTAATGACTATTAGTCATCCTGGATTGGACAGTGAGTATACCACTTTTTAAAAATAAATATATCTTAACCACTTTTCCTAAACTTTTTTACTTTAGGATCTTATTAACTTGCAGATTTTGTCTGCTTCTTCTTTTGACTAAGTGGCTTCACAGAAACGCTAATGTAGAGATCAGCGGCCAGCTCTTCCTTTGGCTAACACAGAAACCTCTTTGGTACATATATTGCATTTGTTATATTGTGGAGTGTAAATATGATAACATTTTTAAAAAGGGCTTTGAAGTAATTTCAGACTTGAAAAATGGATAAAAATGATTCTCACTAGAAAAATACATGGCAAGAAAAATCCCTGGCTAAAATAGTGTAAAGAAGCCAGATGGTAGTGGCCTTCACCTTTGATCCCAGCACATTAGAAGGCAGAGGCAGTCAGATCTCTGAGTTCAAGGCCAGCCTGGTCTACAGAGTGAGTTACAGGACAGCGAGAGCTATACAGAGGAACCCTGATTCTAAAAACAAAACAAACAAACAAAAAACTTAGTGTAAAGAATTTATGTATTTCTTCCCTCCAACCCCCAAATGTTAACTATAATTCATATTTTTCCAGAATACTCCCTTTCTTTATCACTCCTCTTCAGAGAGTAGATTCTTTTCTTTTTCTTTTGATTTTCAAGACAGGGTTTCTCTGTAGCTTTGGAGCCTGTTCAATTTGTAGACCAGGCTGGCCTCAAACTCACAGAGATCTGCCTGCCTCTGCCTCCCGAATGCTGGGATTAGTCATATACCACCACCACCCAGAGATACTAGGTTTCTTTACCTCTAAATAATTTAGTAAGTTAAAAACAAATATACTCTTTCCTGTGTTAATATAATTTTCTGAGTCAGGAAGTTAATCATGATTAATTGACCTAATGTAGACACATTTCATTTTTCTCACCTTTTCCTGGGACAGATGTTGAAATGAGTGTTATTGTCACAGTAGGCTCCTTTAAAATATAGAAATATTTCTCAAGTGATCTTGTCCCTGCTAAACTTGAGAGAAGACAATCTAGTCTGCACACTCAGAAATGTCAAGCTCAGCCAGACAGAGCTGATGGACATTTGTACTTAAGAAAGTACCAGAGGATGTAGTCTGAAAGTTGACTGTAAAACTGCAGTTGTAGATTAATTGGCTGTCAAGAGTATATTGACAGTTGGACTCTATGCACACAGGTCATTTGTGAAGAAAAATGCTTACAAACATATTTTAATTATATAAATGTTTGTCACCAATTTGTTCCTTAAGGAACCTCCTTTTATTATTAAGATTTGTTTATATTGTGTGTGTGTGGGTGTTTTGCTTATATCTATGTCTATTATCACATATGTGCTGTACCCACAGAGTCCAGAAGAGGGCACTGACTAAAGTTACACATAGTTGTGAGTTGCCATATGGGTGCTGGAAATCAAACCCAGGTCCTCTGGAAAAACAGCCATTGCTCTTAACCACTGAGCCATCTGTTTAGATCAAGGAGCCTCTTTTAAAATTTATTTTCCAAGAGTAATTAGAGTATGAGATCATGATGCAAAGGTTAGATCTAAAAGGGAGTAATATACATGTTCTTCACTATACAGCCAGGTCTTCTGAAGACTAAACACAAGCTCCTGCTGTTTGTGGTATTTTTTCAGTGTCCTCTTAAAATTTCATTCAAAAGAACTGGAAACTAATATAGCTGTCCTTCACTAATGAGCAGTTTTGTCTTGTATCTTGGCTAACTGGAGGTGTAAGCTTGGAATATTTCACAGTAGAATGATGGCATAAAGGGTAATTATTTTGCTCTATAATCATGAGTACCTGTGTTTGGATCCCAGTGCCTACATAGCAAGCTAGGCATGCTCTCCTGCTTTCCTATGAGCCCAGCATGCTATAGGAAGCGGAGGCAAGAAGACTACTGGAGCATGCTCCTTCCAACCTAGCTAAGTAACATGAGCTCCAGGTTCAAGGAGGCCTTGACTCTCTCTTGTGTTTTCCTATGTGTACCCACCTGAACATAAATATACACACACATGCGTTTTATTTTAAGGGAAGTTGGGCCTGCTGTTCATTAGAGTTCAGTTCTTGTTGAGCATGCATGAGACCCTCCACCTCCTAAGTTCTAGGATTATGGGCAAATATCATCACACTCAGTTTACAGTCAAATTTTCTTGAGACAGTTTAACTTATGTTTTATGTAAGCACATATAATGGCCGAATGACTACTTGTTACAGAAACCCTTTACCTTCAGTTCAACTTCAGCAGTTAAGTAAGGATAATGTACTCTAGTTTTAATGTGAACTAAAATCATTAGTGTACTTCCTGCTGTACAATGAGCATGGAGTTATGCAATTCACAATGACCCAAAATAATGCCAAGGTCTCTTTTTCCCTGACTTTAAGCAGTTTTAGAAGCAAGAACATCACGTTGTAAAAGAACCTCAAATTATTAGAAATCATATTCCTGATATCACACAGACAAACAGCAAAAGTAACTCAGCAAGGCAGTTTACTTTTATAAAAGAGAATAGATAGAGACCTTTCCTGGGCAAGCAAGCACATGGGGGCAAAAAGTTCATTTCACCCCATTGGTGAGAGCTCACCTTATAATCTGATGCGGTTGGTGTAGCTTTCATATATGTACAGGCCATTTCTTCACATTTGATTTAGGGCCTTATGGTTCCCAAAAGCCCAATAAAGGGAAAGGTTCATGTATCCAATTTTTCAGTCCAACCCTTACTGTACATCAAACTAGACAATGGCAGAAGAAGGACACACTTACTGGTAGTTTCTCTCTTGACTATAGTTACTATTTACAGACACAAGAACAAGTTGAATATAATAGAAAATAGTAAATGAAGCAACCAAAGTAAACACTCATTATTCTAGAAGTATCAGACCTCAGGAGAAAATTTAGACCAAAAGAAACTAGAAAAGCAGTAGAATCGTGTTGATTAGAGAACTTCAGACCAGCCACAATGGAAATAATGTTGGGAAGCAAAACATTACAGGTCAAATAGAAGGTTCCTTGAGGTTTGCAATGCAGCTGTTTCAGAATAGTGATCTCAGGAGAGAAGTTATAGTTCAAAGAAGCCCAAATGAGGCATGCTTTAAGGATCTAGTGGTGGCTCCCAACTTTGTACCTTGAGTAAAGATGTTAGATATGACTTGGCTGGTAAAGGACTAGAGGAAGAGCAAGATAGCAGGAAAAGACATATTTCCTTTTATATTTGTTGGGTTTCAGCTGCTTGTGGAGTGTCCACACACACACACAAGTGAGCAAGGAGATGAGTGAGTCTGATCCTGAAAGAGCCCTACCTTGAAGTAGAGCTTGAAGAGAGAAAGGAAACCCTAGTATATTATGTACATGGTAGAGGTAGGAGTGAAGTAGGAAATTTGGGATGAGTGAGAAGAGGAGTAAATACTGAACCCTGAGCAGCATCACTGTTGGATGTCTGTACACTGTAAAGAAAAACACAAGGTGTGAATATGACTATTAACAACAGTTTGCTTGTTTTCCAATCTAACAAGTACATATATTTAGGTGATTTGTTAAACAGCATTACAGTTTTTCATGTTCAGAAATGAATATATAAATAAAATACATTGTTAACCAGGCAGTGGTGACACACAACATTAATCTCAGCACTTGGGAGGCAGAGTCAGGTCTGAGTTGGAGGCCAGCCTGGTCTACAGAGCAAGTTCCAAGACAGCCAGGACTACACAGGGAAACCCTGTCTCGGAAGGAAGGGAGAGAGAGGAGGAAAGGAGGGAAGAAAGGAAGGAAGGAAGAGATCCTGAAGGCCATCAACATTATCCTGTTTCCACATAGGTTGGAAGTACTTTTTTCTTTGTCCTGGCATAACTTTTGCATGCTCTAATGTCTTTCTGTTATCCTACTTCTCAGCTCAGCAGCAGTTGAAGCCATCAAGGTGGATCTCCTTTTCCCTCAGTGTTTCTCCACTCCTCCTTAAATCTAAAACTCTCTTTTCTTTTGGCTCCTCTTATTCCAGTGATGAGGAGGAGGAGTTGCATAGTAAGTAAGCTGACTTGGTGTCTAGTTGTTCTCCAAAGTCTGGCTAGTTTTTAAATGTTATAGGCTTGCTACTAAAAGAATTAAATCATTTGAGGGCTTTTCTCTCCTTGTGTGCTGTCGCTTGACTTGCATGCCTTTGCAAATCAATTTTGCTGAAACCAGGTTTTTGTTGTACTTATAACTACTAATGCTGATTGTTTCGGTGGCCTCCTGGTTCCAGCACAGGTGTCTTTCCAGAATACACTCTCAAATGTGAGGGTATAGTCTCACCCCACTTCTGCCCTTTGTAATACTGAGTGCTAGTTTTACAAAACTTCCTGCTTGATACCTCAGTTTGAATTTCAATTATCCACTTTTCTCTATCTTAGGTTCTCTTTCAATCTTTTCATATAATTGAAAAACAAAGCTATGAGATTAGATCCCATAGATTAGGAAATGGAAGTTACATATCTTTTTTTCAACTTTTGGTTTTGTAAAAGTCTATCTTATGCCACACTCCTCAGGGAGTTACAGGCTTCAAATTAATAAGTTCATAGTAACACTGGTATGAACATTTTTGAGAAATCAATTTTAGTAAACTTGAAATGCAACTGAGTTTTCTTCTATTAGAAGACCTTGACTCCAATTTTGAAGGGCTTCTAGGATACTCTGGAACTTACATTTTTTTTTTTAAATGGGAAAACTATTTCTATCATAAAGTAATGAGTGGTTGTGTTAGAACTAATATTATGAGTGCCTAACATTTATTCTACTTGCTGATCTGAAGTAGCAACAATGTATAAAAATTATTGTGGCCACGCTTTGTGTGTCTTTTTAAGGAAAATGTCTTTGGCAGAGAGATATGGTTTAGTTTTAAATGGTAGCCGCATTGGTGTTAAGTGTATTTTTTGCTATTAAAAGATACTTCACAAAGAAACAATGAGATATTCACATTTTATTCCTTGTACTGGTTAGAAAGGTGCAAAACATTCACCTCAACTTTGTGTTCAGAAGTTCTCAAATCTCTTTGGTCCGAAAGTTGGTAGTACTATAGCAAATAGTCAGGTTATAATAACAAACTGAAACCTCAGTAGAACTTCATTATCACTAGAAACAAACTGTAATGATCTCACTGTAATCTTAAAAATACAGAAGCAGTGGGGTGTTTTGAATGCAGTGTCTAGCATTTCTTAAACCACCAGTCAGATTAATGGGGAGAGAGTAGTGTAACACATTGAGAAGCTCAGTTAAGCTTTAAGATACTTATTAACACATTGTGATGTCCCAAAGCAGTACTTGATATGCTATACTTCCCAATTTTTTAAATTAGGGAAACCATAATAATGCATAAAACCATCTATGCTCCATGAGACTCTTGTTCTATAGAACACATTTTGTTGTTCAATGATTTCAGCCCCAAATCCTTAGACTTATAGTCGACCTATATATTATTTTGTGTCTTAAAATAAAAATCTGGTTGAAACGTTATTTATCTGCAATAATATTTAATGGGTTAATGACAGGTTTATTTTCTTCTGTTTATAGTTTTGTCATGGAAATGGCCCATGTTATTGCATACTTTTAAAGTCTCCTCACTTCAGGAATTTCAGAGGCACTCATTTTGGTGGCAGTGGTAAATGAATCCATTTTTTTTTCCAGAACCACATGTAAAAAGTCATAGTAACTGAAATAAATTCTTTTCCAGCAATAAAACCATTGGGAACTCTTAGAGGTGGTGCCATAGATTTTCTTGATACCTAATCATAGGTATTTAGTTTTCATCTGTTTCACAGAATCAACTAGTATTTTTGTTTTGTCTTTCTTTCTCCCCCCACCCCCGCTTGGCCAAGTTTTTTGTTGGGTATTTTTCTGCAATAAGAATTTGACTTTTACTTTGTATAGTTTACTAGAGTGGTAATTTAGTGACTTGTTTAAATGTACCGTGAAGTCTTGGCAGTCTGGGAGAACTAAATACTTATTTCATTGAGGCTACTGGGTGGGAAAAATTACAAGCCATTGTTTCAATCCATCTCTTGTTTAAAGTTAACTAAGATATCTAGGTTGAAATGTTTATAGTTTCACAACTAGATTCTGCAGAATTGGACATCAGATCCTTTTTTCCCAAGCAATTGTTATCAAATACTGTAAATATAATAGAAGAAACTTATCTTGGTTAGGGCTTCTGTTGCTGTGAAGAGACACCATGGCAACTCTTATAAAGGAAAATATTTAATTGGGTGACTTATAGTTTCAGTGATTTAGTTCATTATCATCATGGTAGGACATGTTGGTGTACAGGCAGACATGGTGCTGGAGAAGGAGGTAAGAGTCCTACATTCGATCCACAGGCAACAGGAAGTGAACTGACTAGGCCTAGCTTGAGCATAGGAGACCTCAAAGCCTGCCCCCACAGTGACATATTTCCTCTAGCAAGGCCACACCTACTTCAACAAGGCCAAACCTCCTAATAGTGCCACTCCCTATAAGGTTATGGAGGTCAGTTTCATTCAAACTATCATGTTCCACTCCCTGGCTTGTGGGCAAGCTTGTAACCATATCATAATGCAAAAATGCATTTAGTCCACTTTAAAAGTCCCCATAGTCTGTCACAGTCTCAACATTTAAAAGCCCAACATTCAAAGTCCTCTGAGAATCCTGGAGTCTCTTTAACTCTAATCCCTTTTAAAATTAAAAGCAGATCACATACTTCTGACATTTAGTGGTACAGGTTATACATTCCACAACATAGGGTATGGAACATAGTGAGGAAACACTGGACTAAAGCAAAACCAAAGACTAGCTGGGCAAACTCCAAACTCTGCATCTCCATGTCTGATGTCATAATGTTCTTCAGATCTCCAACTCCTTTCAGCTTTGTTGACTGCAACACACTTCTTTTCTGTTAGGAGCATTCCTTGGCAGGTAGCCCACAACTCTGGCATCTTTAACAAGTTGGAGTCTCCAAGGCAATTCAGGCTTCTCCTTCACAGCTTCACAGGGACACCCCTGACACATGCCTGTCCTCAACAGTTTTCCTTAGTCATGGAGGAATATTCCATAATGCCTTTCTTCTGTCTTTGATGTTAAAATAGAACCACATGGCCAAAACTTCCAAGTTCTGCTGCTTACTGGGGCTGGAACATGGCCCCTTTGTTCAATTACCTCTTCATCATCTTTCTGTTTTCAGTAATTTCTTTCACTGCCTAATCCTGTCACAAAATTAGATCTGTTTTGTGATCTGGCTTTAACTCAGAAGTATTTCAATTACATCTTCATCAACTTTCTGTTTTTGATGATTTCCTTCACTGCCTAAGCTTAGCTGTTCTCAAACTTGCTCTGTAGACCAGGTTGTCCTCAAAGTCAGAGATCCACCAACCTCTGCTTTGCCAATGCTAGGATTAAAGGTGTGTACCACCACACCTGGCTCTAAGCTGTTCTGTAACTCTTTTTTATAAATTGGAAACTTATCTGAGTGGGATCTTGCCATGGTGTCACCACTCCCATATTCCATTTCTTAATCTGTTTATCTCCTTGAACACAGGACTTAGTTCCATTCCACTTCCTAGAGCTCTTTTTCTCCTCAAATTGTACATTTTGTATTTTTCCTTACTCAACTTGCTACTTTTCATTATAAGCATATATAAGCATGAACACTAGTAACCACACAGCAGAGTCTATACTAGGCTTGTTTTGAAATTTCCTCTGACAATGAAATTAACCTGAATCTTTCCACTTTAGCCTCAGGCAAACGCTTAAGACAAGGGCAAAAAGCAAAATATCACAAGAACAATTTCTAGGCCACGTTTACTGCCTCTGAAACCTCCTGAGCCAGCCCCCTCTCACCCATCCCCTCACCTACCCCCACCCCCAGTTTATGAAATCACGTTCATGCTGTCTTTTCATGCTCCTAAGAGGGCCCAATAAGCATTACTTGTGTCCAATTGGTTTTCTAATCCACAGTCCCAAGGTTCATACTCCTTCAAACGACAACGTAGTTCAGGCCTGTCAGAGCAACACCACAGTCCCTGATACTAAATACTGTCTTAATTATGGTTTCTACTGCCGTGAAGAGACATCATAACCACAGCAACTATTACAAAAGAAAACATTCAATTGAGTGGCTTACAATTTTAGAGGTTTAGTTCATTATCGTAATGGCAGGACATGGTGGTGTATAAGCAGACATAGTGCTGGAGAAAAAACTGAGATTCCTACATTTTGATCCACAGGCAACAGGAAGTGAACTGAACTAAGCCTAGCTTGAGCATAGGAGACCTCAGAGTCCACCCCCACAGTGACACATTTCCTCCAACAAGGCCACACCTCCTATAACGCCACTTCTTATAAGTTTTTGAGGTCCAATTATACTCAAACTACCACAAACCCCAAGTTGCCAAGTGCAGGAAAACAGAAGTTTAAAGATTCCTTTAATGTTTTGTTTACTTTAGTCCTACCAGTTGAATATTAAGATGCTCAATATAGTAACAACAATTACAATATCAACTGTAATTTTATATTTAAAATGTAGAACAGATTTGAGGTTAAAAGAATTCAAAATGCCAATAATGTCATTGTGGAGCATCTTCAAATCTCTCAGATCAAGTTTTACTCATAATAACCTCAGAGGCTCTCAAAAGTGACCTTACAGAAGAAAGTGTGTATGTTTTCACCACATGATAACAGTAGTTAATTATATAGTAATTAGGTGTCGGCTATTATACTAAAAGTTAAAAGCCATTCACCTTTTAACTTTGCTCACTTCTAAATTCCCAATAGTAGTTCAAATCATTCTTATTTTAAATTTCTTATTTATTCCTTTATTTAGCCATAGAGAAATAATTCTGCTGTTCACTTTTTCCATTTACTCCCTGCTACCTCACTTAGCCTTGGAATTTTCATAGTTGGGTTCCATTTCTCTTAAGGGAGGAGAAAGAAGGCACCCACCCCAATCGTTTTATCACTGGCAACTTGAAAGACGTAACAGTCTGGTTCCCCTCATTTCACAGTTGAGGAGCTGATCTGGAGAAGTCTTTCCAAACCAGAGGTGGTGCCAGGGCTTTTTGAGGCAGCACTCTGCTCCATGCCCAGGAAAATATCAGACAATAATAGATTACTCAGATGGAAATATTTACAAATGGGATCAAAAGTAGAAGCTGTACCATTTACTTTTTTCTTTTATATTCTTTGATAACATCTCAGAAGGATGGCCTATGGGAACTGAGTATTCATTAAAAACAGAAGCTAAATGTGCTTCACCTGTATTTAAGCATAAAAACTAGTATTTTCAGTTACTTGGATCCTGGATTATATTTGCTTTCTTCATGAAAAATTCACTCTCTTGCCTCCTGTTTCCATTCTAATTTGAAAGCTTCCAGTTTAATTTCTCCTTCTCCTAAACTTTTTAAGGAAGAGGTACCATGCACTGACTTTCAAAGACTTTGTGCTTTTTATCTGAGAATCTTTAGGTGGTTTATCTGTCATCAGGACAAGATCCTTGTGTGCTAATGTTACCTCTACTGTTTTTGTTTTCTAGATTCACGGCCCTTCCACAGTACCAGTGCTAACCTGACTGAGAGGTAGGATGCATTTATTTTCTTACTCCTTTTCCCAAAATGAAATGAAGACAATACTAGCTATCGTGCCACATTTAATTTGAATATCCTAAGTTCTTTGAGCTCACCCAGGTTCTGACTTCCTTGACTGGCAAGTTTGAAATAATTAGAAAGTAGTGTTTTCATAATGAAGGCTTTGTCTTCAGTCACCTCTCTTACTCTTTATTTTGTGTGTATGGTAAAGATGGTTATTTGCTTTTATTCACATAAAATATACTTATTTGACAATATACACTTAAGTTACTTGGCTTATGGGAATTTTTTAGTTTTTGAATAAATATAATATTTTGCTTCATAATACATACAGGCATGTGTGTGTATGTGCGTGCGTTCACGTATGCTACATATGTGAATTACACAGTCAGTGTTGCTATCTTCTTAACCTTTAAAGCTGAGGGTTGGTGATGTATGTAGTTCAATGGTTGTGCTTAGTTAGCATATATGAGACTCTGGTTTCTATCCCCATTCCAAAAAAGGAAAGCTGCATGTAGTATATACCTCTGTCCATGTAGAATTGAGGTTTTCTTTTCTCTCCTCTCCCCATCTCTTTGCTTTCTAATACTGGGAGCAAACCCCGGGATTTGTGCATGCTAAGAAAGCGGTCTACCACTGAGATTCATTCCAGCTGGACTTGACAACATGCACAGATTCCTGTCATTTCTGTTTCCCCTGTGTATGTTTATGAAGTTAAACCTTGTGATTCAGTGTCATTAGATTTCTGATGATTTTAAGTTGCCCTCCTTCTCACAAAGACTTCAGTTATGATTGTGACCTTGAGTCCTTCCAGTGATTGTTTCTCTTCATGCTGCTTTCACATGGTCATCTTTCTTTCTCTAGAGCAGTTGCTTTTATGCCATTCCTGTTTTCTCTTAAAAAAAAAAAAAATGAACTTCTTTGTTTTATAACTATCACATATATGTAAATATGGCTGTTAAGAGGGTCCTCTTGTGATTCTACTTACAAATGCGCTCTCAGAGGCTAACACTACTGCCCTGTGGAATGGTGTGAAGATGAATGGCTGTTGTAAAATAGACAAGCAAAATAATTAGATGGAGTCTTTATCCTTATAATGTATTTATAAGTATACTTTAAGGAAATCGACCATTATAAATTTCCTAAAATCAGAATCTGTCCAGATTAGATGCACTTAAATTTCATATAGACTTTTTGAACAAGTAAATCAGTAAATTTGGATCTCTAGGAATCTCTGTAACAAATCTGTCTACAGTCAGCCTGAAATATGCTTATTCTTCACTCCAAAATTGTATATTGCTTCCTGGACCAGTCTGTAGTTCGTTGATAGGCCTAAAGACTACAAGAGATGTCCTGACCTAAAATTTGTTTTGCCATCTTTCTCAGCACACACCCTGCCATTCATTCCACTGTGTGCGAAGAAGTTGGTATATCCAATGCTATTTTATGCTCAGTTCCATATTTGCTTTTATAGTATATGAGACCATTCAGTAGCCTATGCCTGCTTCTTGCTCAGCCCACTGTTTAACTTTTCTAGTCACGAAAAACATCATCTTTTTGTTTTCATCCAGTATAACAGAAGAAAACTATAACTTCCTGCCACCGAGCCCCTCAAAAAAGGATTTTGAAGGGAAGAGTGGGACAAAAGTTAGTCGCACCTTCAGCTACATCAGGAATAAAATGTCCAGCAGCAAGAAGAGCAAAGTAAGTATCTCCTGGGCATTCTCTGTGTGACCACCTCAGTCAGTCACCACTGCATATAAGCAACAGGAACAAATGGGAATAATTTCAGAGGTACTTTGAAACAGTCTCATGCCTGGAGAAAAGTAACAATGCAAGCAGCAGCTAGTAATGCTGCCACTGTTTTACCACACACCAAATGTTGCCCATGCATCAATCAACTCACTGTACCCTTTCACGAGCCCTGCTGGTGCTGGTCTTACCCCCTTCTTTAAGGACTGCCTGTTTAATGCGGGGAAGAGGTTCAACCCCAACCCCTCTAGCCCCTCGTCCCATACATTGAACCTCAGTGCAGAAATGATTAAATCAGGTTTAAAATCCAGTGGAAGGACTTTAGGCTGAGATCAAAGCATAAATGAAAAGTATATAACAGATATATAGGAAAGAAAATTATGCTTCAGAAAATTACAAGAACGTTTAAGACCTACTTAGATCTGTTTCTATTTAGGAAGATTTGTGGTGTATCCTCTTTAATAATTAAGAAGCTAAATTAAGATACTTAAATTTGGGTTGGAGAGATAGTTCAGGAGTTTAAGAGCACTTACTGACAGCTCTTCCAGAGGACCAGAACTCAATTCCCAGCCCCCTCATAGTGGCTCCAGTGACATCTAAACTCAGTTTCCCCAATACAGTTGTTGCTTATTCATCACAGGATTCTATAAACTAAGAAATAAATCTATAGTAACCCCACATATTCTCAATATTTTGATTTGTGTGTTTTTAATGTCTTTTGTTTTCAAGACAGGGTCTCACTGTATAGTACTGGCTGTCTGGAACTCACTCTGTAGACCAGGCTATGCTCCCAGAGATCAGCTTGCCTCTGCCTCCCCAGTGCTGGGGTTAAAGTCGTGTGCCACCACCACCTGACTGTGATATGTCTTAAAAAGAAAGAAGTTAACTTTTTTATACTGACTCCTGATCTCAAACCAAAACTATTTTCATTTCAAACAAGTGAGGGAAACACTACCCCACCACGTTCCCTGCACTGTTTACTTACCTATAATCATCTATCTACATGTGTAAAGAAATAAGCAATCAAAGGACCTCTTGAAATGAATCACTGAAACATATCTCTGTACATTGCATATATAAGTATATGCACATAAGCACACATGTGTATACATATATACTGAACTCAACAGCGTTCATCTAAAAATATACCCTCTTCATAGCAACTACACACCCCGTGTCCAGCAGTAGTTGGCCAACCCAAAATGAACGCCATGGTATTTTTATTTCATTTGCTTTGTTTTGGCTTTTTTTGTTGTTGTTTTTGTTTTTGTTTTGTTTTGTTTTTGTCTTACTGTTCTTTTGCTTATTTGTTTTGATGTTTCATTTTTGTGCTTTTGCAGGATTTCTTGATGTTTTGGGGGTTTTTTTTGGGTTTGGAATTTTTTTTTTAAGAAAGAGAAGAAAAGAATATACAGTTGGGGAAGTAGAGTAATGGGGGAGATCTGGGAGGAAAACATGATCAAAAAACATTTAATTTTTTTCAATTAAAAAAATGCCCTTTTTTCTCTAACTAAGCCTTCAAGCACTCAGTTATGTGAGCGGATAGAAATACAGCCAATTGATGTTACTAGCTGAATTAGCTTTCTATTACTGTAACAAATTACCTGATAAAATCAGCTCTGAGGAAGAGAGATTTACCTTGACTTCAGAGCTGTCAGCCTGTGTTCACCTAGATGGTGAGTACCTCACAGTCAGAGTGTCTGCAGGAGGAGAAGCAAAGAGTGAGTCAGGAGCCATGCTCCTAACCCCCTTCAAAGGCACACACCTCAGTAAGTCCCTTCTAGTAGGCCCTTTCCTCCTGTGTGTCCTACCATCTGCACACAGTGTCACCGTGTAGGGAGCAAGTGCCTTTGGGGTACATTTACTATCTGAGCTGTGACACCATGGCCTGAAAATAGTACAAAGGTTTGGTCCTTTCTTTTAGGGATTTTTTTCCCCCATAAAACCCTTATACCAAAATCTGCTTTTTCACCATTTTTCTTACCAAGTGCAAAATGAAGACACAGTCTAGTAAATAATTTCTAGCCTAATTATGTGTTTAAGTATTGGCTTCATTCTTATGCTTGTTTTAGAGCTAAAATATATAGGATGTGATACAACCCAGTATCCCACATACTGGCAAGAACAGAACCTACATGTTTTGTTTAGCTTGATTGATTGATTGATTGATTGATTGATTGATTGATTGATTGATTGATTGATTGGTCAGTAGTCGCCGTGAACAAAAGAAAACCCCCCTGGGAAAATTAATATAAACTAGCCACATATTGTTAAATGGCCTCTGTGCTCAGTGGTCTGTAGTGCTCAGTCTTAACCTGGAAAATGTTGTGGTCTGGTTTGATTGAATTTCAAGATATTTTTTTTTTTGTTTTTGGTTTTGGTTTTGGTTTGTTTTTGTTTTGCTTTTAAACTGTGGAGTCTTACCCAAACACATACACACATAATTGTAAGACCAGCAAGTGAGTGGAGATTCTCTTCGACCCACCACCTCTCCAATGGCATGGCTTTTGAATCCACATGGTGAACATGACACGGAGTTTGCTGAGGGGGTAATACAGGGGTAATACAGACAGCAAAAAAGATAATGTGGGTCCATACTCAGAAACGGGAACTTGACCTTTAAAACGGAATCTCACCCCAACTTCCATACTCCACAAACCTGAATAAAATGTGTCTCAAGTAATAAGGCTGGATAGCACTCGGGCAGGGCTGCCTATGGTCTGGCTCCCCACACATGTTGCCTGTCATTGTGTGCCTTCTCTTCAGCCACATCTCTCACTTAAGTAGCTTCTTTTTCCTTTTTCTTTAATATGTTTCTACTTCCAAGTACTAGCATTAGGTATGAGGGAGGTGATGAGATGGGACAGGAACAAAAAGCTATCTATGTTAGCGTCAGTCTGTTATCACTGTCAAAGAACCAGTTGACCTCTTGCCTCCACTACTCTCCTTAGGCAAAATGACCAACACTCTTTTGCAATTGGCCTGGTTCCCCTTTTCAGACTTGGCTTCAAAATTTGATCGTTGGGGGGCTATACTGTCATCCAGCAGTGGGAAACTCCAAAAATTGTAAATACATAATTCCTCAGATTGTAGTACTATTCCTTTTAGCAGTTGTTTACAAGTGCTCCAATGGCCAGATATATTAATATGTCGTCCTTCTAGTTAGTGGTTGCAGGCTAACTTTTAAATAAGACCGTTATACAAGCTGTGAACACTGTCACTTTGTCAATATAGGCAGATGTAATGAGAAAAAAAATAGTCATATGTCCAATCCAATGCACAAATAAATGAGTATTGATCTACTGTTTTTCCTGTTGAATGCTTCACATGTTATTTAAAAAGGGAAGTGAAACCATAGATATTAACACTAATTTTCCTATAAAAACGATGAGCTTTCACTTCTTTTTAACCTGTTTAGGGTCCTTTTTTTTTTTTTTTTCTTCTCAGTGCCGGGAATTGAATACCGGGCCTTGCACATCTTAGGGCCAGTACTATAACCACTGAAGTGTTTACAAGTGCTGAGAATTTATTAATATGTGTTAATGAGAGTGCCTAATTTTCCTTGTTTTATTCAGCCACTAACTAAACATATCTCCTTTTAAGAGAAGAAAAAAAAAAAACGTAAGTACTTAATGAATATTATACCAAAATAATACATATAAATTGTGAGTATAGTTAGGAAAGTTTCTGTGTGAACATTGTATACGTATCTGTGAGAATACAGTTATAAACTTGTGTTTGTTTTTCCACATGTTAGCTGTGACTGCCAACAGTCTTCAGACACTCAGAGTAGCCAAAGTCAGCTATTAGACAGGGAATGGTCCACATTCTTAGACGATGTGTTGCCCAATAGTGACAGATTTTTATGGATGTAGTTTTTATTGTATAGGGGGGTTTAGTTACCAATTCTGCATATGTACTTTTGACAGTCATCAGTAACTTGCACACGTTGCAAGATGTATATACTGAATGCTTTTTAGAAAGCTGGAAAGATCTAAACAGGAAGTACAAGAGGAAGATGGGCAGTTTCTCCTTTTGTTATACTGTTTTCTGCTTGGTAAATTGTGTTTGTTATACACATATCAAGTCCTTGCATACATAGTGCTCATCTTCATAAAGAGAGTGGTCTTTATGTTACTGATTATCTCTTTCTATCAGGCTCTTAATTTTACAAGGACAACTACAAGACACTGGAAATATTTTAGACCAATTCCTTGTATGACTCAATTTTTTTTCTGAGTAAAAAGGATTAGCTTCCTCCCCAGCTGATGTACTTTATTAACTTTATTATGAGACTTTCAGCCCCGGTCCTGGTGTCTGTGCCTGTGTGTGAAAGAACTGTATCCATCATCCTTTCCAAGACGCCTGATCATATTAGTTGTCCAGAACACCCTGACTTCTAAAAGGAGAGTTTTGGAAAATAAAAACCGATTTTCTTCTACAGCACCCTAGAGTCCTTGTGATCAGTTGCTTCTATTTCTAAATGCCATTAGATTCTTTTTCCACGGTACAATTAAAGCATGTTGGCAATTGTTAAATATAGACACATTAAATTTAAGAAAAGTAATCAGTCACCCATTTTACCATGGACGACTTTGCTAAAATAATTTTGTGTAAAGCTTTACTTTTTTATTAAGAGTTTGCTAGATAAGTGTGGCCTCTGTCCTTGCCAGATTTCCCATATTACATTATAAGTTCTGTCCATACATGTATCTGAAAGGTACTTCATTTTAATCTCACTTCCTGTGTTTTTTAGTGTGGGGTAGTTAGTTTTACCCACAGCATTTAAATAGTTAAGACTGTCTCAAGGAAGCAAGCAGTCTCAACCCCTCCCCCTCATGCGCTTTCTCAACCAGTTTCTGGCTTCCTCTTATGGTTTTGCTAATGGCAGCTCTGAGCTACTGAGCGGTCTGCCATACCGGCCATGAGCACCTCCCTCTGTGAAAGAGCATTTCCTGGCATGGGGGTCAGATCATGTCGGTAAAATGGGGTCGGCTTCCTGAAGTTCCTCTCATAACAGTGCGATTCACAGGACCAAAACATGGGCAGGTAAGAGCCCGGACTCTTCAAAGCACTGGACTAGAACAACAGGAGGCTGCAGTGCAGTTTGTTGTTTTGTTTTTGTCCTTGGAGGTAGTAGTCCGGATTACTGTAAGGGTAAGAAAATGGATTATTCAGATCTGAAGAACATTACAGTTCTTCAGACAATAATGCAGCTGCCATAGCAAGTTGTGTTATTGAACTTTTTTTAAAAAAAAAAAAAAAAGCATTGGAGCATGTTTTAACCTTCAGGCCAAAAAGAAAAAAAGAAAGAAAGAAGTCAGATGGTTTTAAAGTTAACATTTTATGCATGGAGAAATCTGCACAAAAAATATTAAAAGAGGTTATTTAGATATGTTCAACGTTTGGTAATTTGAGTCCTACACACTTTAGCAATTACTAATTTTTGTTCAGAAGAGTTTCCTGTTTTGTAAAGCGGTCGCCCCCCCCCATCCTTTCTGTTGTTTATAGTTTTAAAATGCAGCATTTGGCACTTGGGTTTTTGTTATATGTATTCTGTTAAGGGAGAATTTCTCGTGTATCATAGATTTTACAAGTAACCCATTTTATCCATTGGGTGGGTTCTGAGCTTTAGCAAATTAGAAGATTTAGTTCCTATCTGGTTCTTATCATTGCTTTGTAACCCTTTGCAACTCAGGGAGCCTCAGCAACCCTTTACAGTAAATGTGGTTCGTGAGAGCTAAGCTTTAGTCATACAAAACTATACCAGGTCCAGTTTAACACTGGTGGTTCTGTGCTCTAACTGTCCCTGTCCCAAGAAAATACATATAAATTACTAATTTCAGTGTCTGGTACAAAGTAACTATTTATCATTTTAAATGTCATTCATTATTCTCTCTTGTAAAATGGGAAGCGTGATAGCAGTCTTTCAAATGACTGACTCTATTTAGATAGCCCCTACAAGTGGCATTGCCATGATGTGTTTAATGGTCAGCATGGTCACTCACTTTGAGAAGCTCATTCTCAGGTATTTTTTTTTCCTAGATTGTAATCATAGTATAAAAGAGTAGGTAAAGATCACCTCAGGACTGGAGGTCTTCATGCTTTGTAAGGAAATTACTCTATTAATCTTGTTAGTCGGTTGAGCAGCTAGTGTAGTGGCCAGGCCTGCAATAAACATGAGGTGAATGTCAATTTCCTATTCCCTTTTACAGAGCTAAGAGGCAGCCGTAATGCAAGAAGAAAGCCTTGCAGTGAAAATCAAAGACAGTTCTCAGAAAGCCCTTGCTCTTCGAGCTGGAGACAAGGCCTGCTTTTCCTGTCTTGTTGGGCTTTAGGGCGAGCAGCTGAGCCTTGGGAATTCCCTGTCCCAGGTCCCCAGGCTTTTGAGAGGAAATGAGTGCTGTAGTGATCAGCTTGAGGACACAAAGAAGGTGGTTGGGGAAGGCTGCTGACAAGGCTGCTTGTCTTTTCTGTGCCTCGTATTTCCCATGCACCAGCATCTGTTCCACTGCTCTTGGGTTATTGTCTCCTCCCGGCCGAAATCAGAATGTCCTTTCCTTCTCTACAAAAGATTGCAGTTGTGTTGAGTTAGAGTAATAAGCTGATGACACTCATTTTCAGTGAGATGTGAATAATTACTATAATGTATTAAATGTTATTAGTGTTGCTGGGCTTTAACAAAAACAGAACTGTAAAGTAGGTATCTATCCCATTTTGCAAATGCAAAGCCTGGGGCTCAGAGAAATAATTTGCTTATAGTCCTACCATTAGTAGAACTTAGAACTGACTTCATGCTTAACCTCTGTGCAGTTTTCAGCCTTCTTTGTCACAACTGAACACAACCAAAATTAATATCTGGTAACCTACTGAGTTCTAGTTAGTAAAAATACATATGTAGGGTTATTTCATAGTTGGGATTAGAGTAGGAAAGAAAATGTCATGGAGACCCATTATTCAGGGACATACATGTGGTTGTAAAAGGGAGAGAGGAGCTTAACAGAACTTTTTAGACTTTGTGACATTGTTTTTCTTCCTCAGACTGAACCATCCATCCTTCTGCTCCCTTTCTAAACTGACCTAAATTCAGTGCTTCCTATGTGTACTATGCCATGCCTTACTAAGAAAACCTTCCTGCTGTGGGCTCTGCCCTGTCTGTTAGTATAAACAGCCCCTGATGACTCAGAACTCCTAAGTCTTTCTAATGGGAGCTTGCATGATTGAAAATTAATAAAATGTTGCCCAGAGGATTGTTCCTCATTTCTGTCTGCAGTGGACACCACCCTCTGTTGACCACATGCCATCTATGTGTTCAGGTAAGGGGAAGGCCTTCCAGTGCTGTTAACTGTTGATCCTTTTCTTTGGCAGGAAAAGGAAAGGGAAAAAGATAAAATTAAGGAGAAAGAGAAAGACTCTAAAGAGAAGGAGAAAGATAAGAAGACTGTTAACGGGCATGCTTTCAGTCCCATTCCTGTTGTGGGTCCCATCAGCTGCAGCCAGTGCATGAAGCCTTTCACCAACAAAGATGCCTACACTTGTGCAAGTAAGAGACATGCTTTCTTCCTTTCAGTAGATGAGGGTCTCTTGCTTCAAGAAAGCTAGTTTGTTTCTAGCCTCCTGTGCATCCCACCGGTGATCTAATCATCATCTATATGGAGAAGTAACTGTGTGTTTTTCTTCTAATTTTAATCATGTAACTTAAATTTTTTTCAGATATTTCTAATTTCAGATTCTCTGCTTGAAAACCACCTCCCATTGCCAGAAACCTGGCAAATCAAAGCAGAACATAGATAGCCTCAAACCTTAAAGCTGCCCCAATCTTTTGTCTGATCATATATACTTACTTTTATACTCTGCCCCCCCCACACACACATCCAGCACACACACACACACACACACACACACACACACACACACACACACACACACACACACACACACACAGATACACATGCAGTTTAGAGATTCAAACTCAGGACCTGATATAAGAAAGCAGTCTACTCCTGAGGCCCCCTCCCCCACACACACACCCAGCCCTGTGCATTTGTTTTTAAATCTGGTCCTCTGGAATGTGATTCAGCCATCTTCTGTCATTAAGTCATGATGGCTACCAGAGGAGTGTCTGCATGTGCACATAAGCCCATGTTTCTGTTATTGATCTGCTGAAAGACAAGTCTATTAACTGAGCATGGCTCTCCTTTTGATAAGACATTCTCAGCAAAAGACAGTTGGCTTTCTCTGTACAAGACTTAGATAACAAGTGTCTGTGTCACAGCCACTGCATTCTACAGTTGCAATGCAAAGGCAGACATAGATCGATCAACAAGAATGGCTCTGTTCCAATAAAATTTCATTTGCAGACACTGACATTTAAATTTTTGCATGCCATGTCATTTCATCTTTTCAATTCTTTTTCAGCCATCTAAAATATAAAAGTCATGCGTGGCTCATTGACTCTGAAATGAAGCAACAGGCTAAATCTGTCACACATAATATAATTTGCAAATCTGCTCTACAGCAGTACTTCTCAAAATTGTGTTAGGGCACACATAGAAAGTAATTGTATTTGTAAAGCATATCAAGGTAAAACCTGGAAGCTGTTTTGCTCAGAGTTAAGCAAGCCAGGAATCAGCCCTCATAGGCCTAGCACTAGGAGGCTGGATGGTTTGTCTCATGTTAGACCTGTGCCACATGTGGATGAGACAGTGCTAAGTCACACTCTGAGGAGTGAGTCTCTCACCTGTAAGATGATCTCCTGTTCTGAGTCATTTATTGTGCATTCCAAGTAATCTGTTACTAAAAATAGTTAGCTTACTAGAATTGAAAGAGCTAAAAGTTTATATGGGCAGATTCTAAAAGTTTATATGGGCAGATTCAAAGTTCTATAATAATTTTGTCTCTCTTGCTTTCTTTTATACAAAAGAGGGGTGAGGCTACAGCTTGCAAAGATCCTGAAACCTGTCTTACCTGTGTCACAGCCATTATAACTTTCGTAAATAAATTAAAAAAGGCTTGGTCACATATGTTCTTATAAATTTAATGTGAAAGATATGTTATATCCCCCAAAGTAATCTATAGCCCTATTTATTTTGCTCTTTAAAGGGAAAAGCACTTAACTAAATCAGTATGCATTTCTTCAGGCAGAGATCACACACATTATCGCTATCCTCCGTGTCTGACTTAGCAGAAAATTGAGAACTGCATCACATAGTACTGAGTTTCAGGTAAACTTTATGAAGCAAGAGGCTCTGTCCAATGTGTCCGATATCCCCATAATGCTTTCCTTTTGAAACCTAGGCTCTAATAAGGACTCTCTGCCTCAGCATAAAATGTCGACACTTTAGGTTTTTGTCCATAGCAAACAGTCCGCTTCTCAGTACTGCAGCTAATTTAGTTGGCTACAACAGAAGTCAATAAGCACCTTTTTTTAACAAGCCACTTTATCTATTTTTAAAACATTTTAAACACATTAACCTTGTGCATTTAAAACTATACTTAACAAAGAGTACATTGTAAGGATCAAAGCCACAGGTTTGACATTTTATTTTCTGGTTAATTATTAGTATGGTTGGTATTGTCCTTGAACCACAGCTTCTGAAAAGAATTTGTATAGCTGTCTCTTTCATTTTATTGAACATAAAAGCAAGGTATTCATCACAACATGATGATGATCAGATAAAGAACAATATTGTTGGTCCATGTCTTGGGTGAGAAACACCTCTTCTCCCTCAAGAAAGCCTCACTGTATATGTAAAGTGGAGCTGCCTAGCATAGGACTGAGTGAGGCACCAGTGTTCCAGTCTATATGTTGACTCTGTTTCTCATTTTAAGAGCCATTTTAAGACCAATTGTGAAACAAATTTCTGTGGGGTTTGGTTCACATTCAAATCATAACAGAAATCAGTATAAATGGAAGCTGCAGTGGCTGGAAGTATAGTTCACGGGAGCACTTGCCTAGCTTGTATAACTTGAGTCCATTCCCCATCACTGGGAGAAAAGCAAAGCCATAAAAATTTACTTTTGGTTTTAAATATTATTTTGCATATTCCCTCCTGTTCCTTATGAAAGTGCTTTTGTTTGTTTGTTTGTGAATCATTAATATCAGAAAAACATTAAAAAGCCACCATTCTTTGAAAAGTTCATACAGTCTGTCTTGAGCACATTCACACATGCCCAACTCCTCCCATAACCATCTACCCATTCTTCCCATCAGACTTTGAGTATACTCCATGTCCCAGTCTAGTCCAGTTGGTGTTGCCCAGCTAATCTGACATGTGGTCAACATACCAGGGGTTACATCATTTAAGAAAACTGATTCTCCTTTTTACAGGAGCTATCACATACCAATAGTTTCTCAGCTAGTGCCCATTTTGGCCCATCTATGCAGGATTTTGTCTGGCTTGAACTTCACAGTCTTGGGCATGTTGTCAAAATCACTGTGAGTTCATATGTGTCTCTGCCTTGTTGTATCCACAAAACACTATTTCCTTGGAGTTTCCTACCACCTCTGGCTCTTACATGCTCTGCATCTCCTCTTCCAGGAGTATCCCTGAGCCTTATGGAAAGGGATGTGATGAGGTCCTTTTTAATAAAAAGAAATTTAGTATTGGCAATAACAGTGACACAAAGTATACATTCCCATTCAAAATGAATGAATAACTTGAAGGCTTGGACTAAACAAGATCAAAACCCAACATGGCAAATATTAAATAAAATGCCCAACATCTGGAGACACATAATGCTATGATGTGGGCCCAGAGGTCTTGAGCAGGTTTGCCCTTATGGCATTGCTGTTTATGATTCCTTTGTCCCTCCCTTTAAGGCAGGCTCCCCTAATTAACTGCACCTTTCTTTGATAATATTCCATGTCCCTAGGGTCTCCATTTCATCCTTGGCTTCATCTTCACAGTTTTAATGCATTGCCCTTTGAGGGACTTCTTTGAAGATTACAGCTATGCTATCCATCTCCTGACCTTCATTCCTTCCTTTGAAATCAGGGTAGAAGCCCCTGATAACTCTTGGATTCTGCCTAAATAAAAACAAAAACAAAAATCAAAATGGTTAATACTATGTAAATAAAATCAGGGACTGCCACAAGTTCAAGCAGTAGCTAAGGCCCCCTTGAAACATGGATGCATAGTCTCAGAGTGCACATGCAGAACACTTTCCTAACAGTGTGCCAGTGCCACCTTTGCCTCAGATGCTTGAAATATAGTTAAAGGATTTAATATTGACTTTGTTGAGTGTGATCCTGATTGCTTTGGTCCAATCCTTTCCTGTGACATGTTTCCCTAATATCAACCATACAAGCAGTTCTCTACCTAACAGGTAGCCCTGGACTTCTCAAAACAGTGTTTTCAAATGAATTAAAACCTCTACACCCTAGAGCTTGGAATGAATGGCGTCCAGCCAGTTTTGAGACGTCCTCAGGATATCTTTCCTATTCCTTCAATATCCTTGGCTTCTTAGTGGCTCTAAGAAGCTCCTTTTTCCCTGGCCCCAACTTTGCTTATACTTCTAAACTTCTGTGCTGCTGTAAGCAGCCAGTAAAGCTCATTCCACAGCCTGAATGCTGAGCCTTTGCAAAATTTCCTCCACTAAAATTTTTAACCCATCACTTTCAAGTTCAACCTCCTTAGTCTCAGGGCTTGCTCAAAATGCAGACAAGTTCTTGGCCACAGCTTAAAATGAATGGCATTAGTCCAGTTTACAGAGCTGTCTTCATTCCCTTCAGAAACCTCACCAACGTTCTTCCTGTCCCTTTTCCTGATAACATTCTGGGCATTTGCACTCACAACAGAATCACTCACTAAATTATGCTCATGTATCTGAGAACTCTATAGGGCATCTCCAGAACTTTTGAAATGCTCAAGTGCCAATTCGCAAAAGCTCCTTCATGGTCAGATTTAGCTACAGCTAATTACTTTTGACTTTCTTCTCCTGACAAATACTTGAGGAAGACAACTAAAAGGTAGTGATAATTTATTTTGACTGATAGTTCCAGTCCACCTTCTCAGGAAGGGTGTGTCAAAGTAGAGCTGGTCATGTCATAGTGCCAAGGAAACAGGAAAACAATGCCTACACTTTCTAGCTTTTTCCCTTTTCGATTTACCTGAGTCCCCAGCCTATGGGATGGTACCATTCACATTTATCGGAGGCCTCCCCTGCTTAGTAATGTGGAAATGTCCATATAGAGACACTCAGTGTGTCCTTTCTCTGTCCAATCAAGTTGACAGTAAAGAGGCAGAGGCAGGCAGATCTCTGTGAGTTTTTGGTCAGCCTGGTTTCATAGCTAGTTCCAGGATAGCCAGAGTGTAGTGGCATCTAGTCTTGCCAGTGAATTTGTGTTAGTGGCCACATCCCTCTGGGCATGACTTCAGGTTTGGATGGAACCGGAAAGAGGGAAATGTGAGGCAGATTCTCTCTCTCTCTCTCTCTCTCTCTCTCTCTCTCTCTCTCTCTCTCACACACACACACACACACACACACACACACAATAACATGTAGACAATTCCACAGATATTTTAAATGTATAAATGTATA